GGGGGGGGGGGGGGGAATTGAATGAAACAAAAGAAGATTTTTTTTATTCTCACTTCATCAACAAAAATAACCTCTGTACTCCCCTCTCTGTAAACCCTCTTCACACGTCACTCAGCAAAGTCTCGTTTTTTTATCTCTCTTTAAATGTACGCTTCCTTTGTGCATAATTTTTTATAGCTGTATAGCTTGTTTTTTAAAGCAAAATTGAAATTGCCGCCACTCTCAATTTTTGTCTATCAGGAGTTACACATGGCTTTTCATATTAGTTCCTCTGTTGATAATCAGAGAATAGTAAGAGAATCTATCAATAGAAGGTGCTTCAGTTCTCGTCATATTTTTCAATGGATAAAGCTATCTTTCCTGCTTTCACAGAATATTCTGCAAGCAACAGAAAAATTATGGGAAATTTTTGACGAAGTATATTAAACTAAGAGAGAAGAAGTAACATAATTTATTTATAAAATAAACTATGACAAGATGTCTTTAATGTCATAAGCTGAGATAAGCGCCTTCCTAGTTCAACCATCAGTATGGTCTGTTTTACAGTACCTACCGTTCTTTTGACCTTCAAAAGGAAAATAATCGTAGGTTTTTATTTCTAACTTTTCTCCTTGACAACTATAAATGCATTTTTTTGCCCTTCAATTTTGAAAATTTCCCAAAAAACTGAAGTAATTTTTAAAAAATTTTAAAGTCAGTTTACCTCAATGACACTTCACAGTATGTTTTAATCTTACCATACGATATTTTTAAGGTAAGCTCTTCTCCCACTCGCTGGAAAATAGACAACCAAGTACTCACCCTCCTTTGTATTTTCTAGGTCACTTAGATGTTGTCAGCTACTTATTGGAGAAAGGTGCAGACCCAATGCAACATGCAAAGTGTGAAGGCACTGTCTTGCACTACGCAGCAGAAAATGGAAATGTGGAAGTTATCAAAGAACTTCTCAATCATGGAGCTGTAATGACCAAGAATAATTATGGTAATTTTTCCTCCGTTTTTCAAAACATTTCTCAAGTTTTTCTTGTACCTTTGGTCCATTTGGCTTAACTGATCTTGCCTTTAAGCTTCAGGTACATTCATCTCAGAATTTAGTCAATATTCAACTTTCTCCTCATGATATTAGTCCAAAATGTAGCTTAAGCTTTTATTCTCCAAAAGTTTATGCACTGCATAATTAATTGAAAGTTACCACCTTAATTGCACAATAAAGATTGTGATATCTGCCTCGTAAAATTTTAGTTGATTACTCATTTTAGGCTCAACATTGCATATGCAGCATGAATTTGACCGTTTTTGGAACAAGTTAGGAGTTTATTTCTTGGTAAAAGATAATGTAAGTCATTGAATGTTTCCAAAATGTTACAACTTTGCGAGTAATTTTTAACAAACAAAATACAACCACATTTGTATTATTTTTAAGAAAATATGAGTTAATATATGCAGTAATGACAATGATAATGGAGTTTCCTAATTGGTTTGGTTACTTTTCAGGATTGACTCCTGTTTTAGTGGCTGCTGAAAGAACGAGAGCAGCAGCTGTAGAATACTTCGTCACCCGTCCCGAACTTTCATTAGAAGAAAAAATTGACGCATTAGAACTCCTTGGAGCATCATTTGCATGTGACAAAGATAACTACGATCTAACAAAAGCCTCTCATTATTTAGAGCGATCAATGGATATGAGGTAAGTATCCCTACAAATGTGGCCAAACTTTTTGTCAATCAATTTTCTAAATAACTTGTCGACAACAAAGGACTTCTTGGCTTCAGATCGTGCAACAGACGCCTTGTAAGGAGCTAGCCACTGATAGCATCCCCAATTAAAACTTCTGCTCATTTTTTAGATGGCTTCAGAAATCAAGTGACAGTTTGAGCTAGAGTTAGAAAATATGCGCCTCAAATTTTTTAAGATACTTTGCGATCATAATTTGAGGACGAAGAATCCTCAGTTTGATATCTCCCGGTCAGCTGCTGGCATGTGAAATCGTTTCAGAATTACGAAGCTGTCAGATGCTGGCACCTGGCACCATAATCAATTCAATAAGTGGGCCATTCGATTAGTAAAAAAAAAATTTTTCAACCGAAATTTAAGGATTCCCCCTCAGTCACTGTGATTTGAAATTTGCAAGTTTGATTTTTAGTGGTTGTCAATTTTTTAAGCCTGTTCAGAAGTATGAAAAGTGTAATTATTCATGTAGTTTCAAGCGTCTTTCATAAAATTTCAGACTGTAATGTTCCAATTTTTCAACTTCACAAGGTCATCTTTCTGTCTTACAATGACATCTTCCTTTTAGATCCCCTGCCTTTATCAGATCTCTCTGCCAAATGGTAATGTTTTGCTGTGCCTATTTGTTGCATTAGGACAAATTAAGTCCCTGTTGTGACATTTTGGCTTTGTTTCAGGTACAGTGATCCCGATAACATAATTAGGAAGCCTAAATTTACGCCAATTCCTGCTTATCAAAATTGGATCGAAAGTCAAACCCCTGAAGATGTTAGAGCTCTCAGATTAAATGGAAACTCCTTGTATAATGAAGCCTTAACTGTCAGGTAAGAGAATCATGGACAACTTACGGAATTTTTCTTTTAACAATTAAATGAGTCTATTGTGTTGGATGGTGAATCGCGGCAATGGAAGCACCCAAGCATAGTGCACAGTGCCTCTCCTGTCAATTTAGTTTCTAGAACAGCATGAGTTGCTCCTCCGTAGTATGCCGCTTTATCCCAATGTATCCTATGAGGGTTCTCCCTCAGTAAAGAGACCTCTTCAGAAATAATTTGTTAGAAAATAAAATATGAAAACTGACTCCCAAATTGCATTCCTGACTTCTCCTTTTTTTAACGAATTCACAAATTCTAAAAATCATCTTCGAGACACATCAAATTTACGTCTGTATTGGGACTTATCAGCAGCTAACTGTATTTGTCTGTGATGATCCTCCTTGCTAATGCAGATGTAAAACTTGCACAATGCACTCTGGCACTCTGCGAGACCCAGACGCCATGTGTTTCTGCGTTCCCAAAGGTCATTGGGCAACAGGCCAGGACAGGAGAGTAAAGTCTGAAATGCGCTCATAACTTCACAATTTGAGTAAGAAATTTGCGGTTTTTTGAGCTTCCCGCTTCAAAAACGATACCACAGCACAGGTAAACATTTTGTTAGAGGAGTTGTTCCATCGTCTGCAATATTCATCATGGCCGACGGCAATCCGCCAAAACACTTGTGATGGGACGAGATTACACCTGACCAGGATACGATCAGACAACAACTGGCGTGTTTACGTTCATATTTTCCTCGCCCGCTTTGATTGACCTTTTACTCTTTTCAAATTACGCGCGGAACTACGGAAGTGTCGGCCATGATGAATATTGCCAACGATGGAAAGACTCTTCTAACAAAATGTTCACCTGTGCTGTAGTATTGTTTTTGAAGCGGGAAGCTCAAAAAAACGCAAATTTCTCATGCAGATTTTGAAGTTATGAGTGCATTTCAGACTTTGCCGATGCGCTCATTGAGATTTTTGAGGCAATATCTATAGGAAACAACTCTTATTTTTGCTCTAGCAAAAGTTTGCAACAGGCTCAGTAACATCATGAAATCCGTCTTTAGTGCATGCCTGCCACAGTACTTTCTGTAATAATAATGTTTATTTTTATTTTTTTTTTCAGAGAAAGAATCCTTGGTTCAAATAACCCTGAAGTACCTGCAGCTGTAGTTTATAGGGGAGCAATTTTCGCAGATCATGCAAATTTTCACAGATGCATAGATTTATGGCTTCATGCTCTTCATTTATCTCAGTCAAATAGAGTGTGTGTTAGTAAAGACTTGCTGAGGTTTGCTCAGGTATGATATTTCAACCTATTTTATAACCAAAATAAAACATTAAAAATGTCACAGGGATAAAATAGACCAGAGTAAACTGAAAATTTCAAGATCCATTGACGAGTACCAGTGAAATCAATACCAGAGAAAGAAAAAAGGAAAATGCATTCGAAAATTAACCAGCAAGAAATGAGAATAATTTGAAAACGCACTTATTACTGATTTCGAAATTATACCTTCGGCTTATGCAATGTACTTATTATTGATTTTGAAATTACACCTTTGACTTATGCCCATCAACTTTGTTTCAGATTTTTTCACAAATGATATATCTTGACGAGTATTTAAAGTTCAGTCACGTAGAGGAAGTTTTAGCTGCCGCTGTTCTAGAATTTGAAAGAAACAAAGAACGTATTGAAATTAATAAGCAATTAGGTGAAGATACCACTTCCCTTCAGGTAAGCTCTCGCAATTTCTAGCTACTTAAATCAATGCCGTTACTGTATCCTCATACATACAGGGTGGTCGAAAAGTTCCGCTCCACTGACAACAGGCATCATTCCTGTAACTTTTGAAAAAATTGAGATTGCGTTTTGAAAAAGTGAGTGCTCCAAGGTCAAAGGAAATGACTTTGAATCCCCAAAATTTTAATGGGACCATTTACAAAGGAGTAAGAAACCTAGGAGTCATAAATATGGTGCAGGACTCTTGGATCACCCTATATACATCTACTTTTTGAAAGCCCTTTTCCTCGTTAAGTTTGCAAAATTCATACAGTTGATTCTTGTCGTATGGATTTGCGAAACAACGTTTTTTAAATGTAACATAAAATATTTCAGGTTCATGTCGAACATTCACGAGCAATCATTTTAAAATTTGTGCAATAAGGTTTTCTTTTTTTTTGGCGGCATTTCTAATCACAATGTTTGGGAAGTTTCACGCTATGTAGAGAAAAAACTATCGCATTGAGTATTGACCATCTCTATTTTTCAGATTAAGATGCGTAAGGAAGAAAAGGGGGGGAAATAAGAGATTGATCATGATAATTTATCATCATAAGAGTGCCTTTTGATCTCTCAAAATAGTTTCGGAAAGCATTTTCAAACTATTAAATTTTGGTATTTTGGTTCTTACCAACGATAAAGCAGATACAATGTTAAGTTCTTTTTGTTCCTCTCAGAAACAGTGTGAAGACAGTTTGCATTCGCTGTAATCAAGTTGTATAATTTTTCAAAAATATGGCCTGATTTTTAATTATGCTAAGCAATGCAACAGTCCTAATTTGTTTGAAGAAATAGGAAGTCTACAGTTTTTCTCTGCAGTTCTGGTTTTGTTTTTTTACCTCTTTCTCTTAAACTTATTTTTGTGTCTCGCAAAAACCAAATCTCCAAAAATTCAGTTTAGATTAGATTTGAGGAAGATCACTATAGAATCCGGAAAATATGAGTAAAATTTTGATTCATACAGACTGATTTGACCAAGATAAACTTAACTGCAATTTATTTAGACTAATTTTGTATCTGATGCTATTTTTTTATGGGGAAACCAAGCAACTCAATATCATGAAACTGCATACAATTTTCTATATCACAAAAAATCTTTTAAAATAATTTTGAAGGCATATTTTTCTCGGTATTCTTGTAAAAAATTAAAAAATTAAACATGTGAGGAATTATATAGCTGGGCTGGTTTTAGTTGAAACCCTCTCCATCAATGTGCTCAACTTTATTTTGAATACATACTTTTAATTAAAAAAATGATTGAGGATCTTAAATATCTTATTCTTGGATGATTTCTTCCTTCTGATTTTATCTTCCTCATTTTTGCTGTTTACTCTTTAGTATCAAACAAGAGAAAAAGGAAAAAAATGTATAAAAATGAAATATTTTGAATTGCAGGAAAGGGTGGAAAGCAATGTGATAACAGCCTTGTACATTCTTGTGATTTTAACTAAAGTAATGAAATTATGTGATGAAACGGAAGGATATAGAGTACGGCAACTCATATTCAGACTGAACAAATTACGAGTTACCAGCAGGCAAGGCCAGACTCTCTTACACTTATGTCTTGACTCGGAAACTCCTGTAGATAATTTTCATACCAATGATGTTTGCAAGTAAGTTTCACTTTTTTCCAGGATTGAAGAAACGTTTTTTTTTTCTCTCTTGAAATTTTTAGTTCTCTCTCAAAGTCATCTTTCGTTTGTAGGGGATTTAATTCAATGAAAAAGTAAATTTTTAAATATGTTTTGAAAAATTCCAGCAATAACTCAATTCTTGAAATCCCTTTAAGATGCTTGGCTTCCTACTCATTTTCTTCTAATTTACAAAATTGAAGCATAAAAACCTCCCTTTGTTGAAGCACAAATAATCTTTGCCTAAATAATAACTATTATTTTTGTGAATCTAAAGCTTATATCCCAATTTTTGTCTTTTGACTGATCCCGATAAGTTCCAAGAGCTTTGTTAAATCACCAAAAATGTTTTCCACGATTCCACCGAAGGAAAGCTCAAGTTCAGTTTTTGATACTCCAAGTCTATGCATGGTAAACTTCCATTGAAATTATTTTTTTTCATTTTTATTTATTTGATACTTTCATTTCAGGTTTCCCTGTTTAGCCACAGCTAAGCTATTAATTCAATGTGGTGCTGATGTAAATGCAATGGACAGCAGTAGGAATACTCCTCTACATGTCATCGTCTGTGTTCAAAAACCTATTAAGTGAGTAAATTGTTTCAACTGTGGTGACATTATCGGTGAAAAAAGACTTGTACTATAGCTTTAATTTCTTATTCTTTTACTGATGGTGAGATGTAAGCAATTCTATTTTGGTTTATGTCTGATCGTGGTCGCATTCTTGACATTTTAGGTGTGAGTTTCAGGTCAGAAAAGTTTTGTGTAGAGTATTCTTCCTTGCCTATGCTCTTGAAGACACTTAGAAATTAGGAATACATGATTATACACTTTATTCTTTAGATTTGTCCTTAATTTTCTAGAGAATGAATTATCTGTAGCAAAAAACTTAGAAATGACTTTTGATATTGTTTCTTTAATTCCATTAGTAATTCAACTCAAAACTTAAATCACGTATCGATGGCTACAGCGCAAAACTACGCATCTCCATTGCAGTGTTTCAAAATCTTTGCACCTATTTTATGTTTTTAAAGAGGAAAAAGCCGAATTTATGGTGTGAAATGTTTACAAAAGATCGTACTAACAGAGAAAAGAATAAAGGAAGTTTTCTAGCAATTAGATTGACTAGTTTCCTGAAGAATAAAATGAAGTATGACAGGAAGTCTGCACGTTACAAATGCAGATACATCTTTTTGCACTTTTATCATCGACATGAGAATTATAGACTCAAAACAGCTAATGAAAAGTAAGCAGCTGAAACTAATAGACCTACTTCAAATTAAGTAAGGACCCTAGTAATAGATACTAGGTATTCCTTTACACAGAAAGTTGTTTCTCAATTTTATTGGAAAAGATTCAATAGTTTAACTGTTTTTTTTTTATTCATTAGGAACCACTGAACAGTGAACACTGCTCTACAGTTCCGAAGACTCTTTACCTGTAGTGTTCTCTTAAACTTTTATTGCTCAAAAGATAATAATTAATGACCATTAGAGTTGGGCCAAAATGGACTTTTCGTGTCACCAGGTACAATCGATTTTTTAATCCGGCTGGAGCCAGATACCGGATAATTCACCAAGGTATTTAGCCAGAACCGGATAATACCGGATCCGGAAAGTGCTTTTTCACGAGAGAAAAATCTCCCGATTTTGCTAAAGGCTTACCGTGTATTGGACTATCGAGACCGTCATCCACGATGTGTGTGTGTTCGTACCGGCAGCCTGTTAGATCATTTTAATTTGCGGAAAATGCACTTTACTTAATTCCAGTAATAACAAGTTTCGAAAAGTTGAACAATTACTATAACTAGTCAAATTGCGCCAAAATATGCCGTAATATCGCCATAAATTTCCTAAAAGTTTCCAGGTCGAAAAAGCATTATCTGACGGGTCCAAAAACTGGATAGCGCGATTATCTGCGTGGACAATCCGGCAATCTGGATTATCGGTGGATACCCGGCCCAACTCCAATAACTATATTTATTTTAGTTTTGATAAACTTTTTCTCTTTTCCTTTCAGTGACTATTTAACTGTCCATTCAATAATCAAAGAATTAACAGAAGCAGGAGCTCACATCGACACAGTCAACAAAGACGGAAAAACACCCTTTGAAGCTGCAACAAGAGGTATTTTTTATTTGAAAAAAAAAAAAAACTGAAAGAAATGTTCCAGAACAATTGGTTTTAATAGGTCACTTTAGCTCAATAGGCATTGGTTTGCAAATGATTGTTTTGTTTTGGTTTGGCACGTCAAATATATCCAAATCTCTTTGAAATTAGTCCTTGCTAAACTATACCTCCTGTTTTTATCGGACTGTCAAGAATGCATTTGGTCACCTGAAATTTTTATGAAAGTCAAGTCTTGTAGTGTAGGTAACAAACACTATAAATGACTTAATTTTTTTTTCAATAGCTATGCAAAATTATTTAAAACGTCCTTTAATCATCAAGTAAAATGGAAGTAGCTTCTGTTGATACGAGGGGCGTTCGTGAAGTAAGTATATATCTTTATTTTCTCCAAAACTAATGAAGATAATTTAAAACGGTGAAAATTGTTTTTACCGTCATACTCTCAGCTTTTCAAAAAGCCTTCGTTTTTAAAATTTGGTTTACTGGTTCGCGAGTGACATCATTTTTCCCGCGCCCATCTCTCTTCAGCGCGTGTCCAAAATATTCGAGCGCGGCCAAGCTCCTGAGACGAGTACATGCTCTCACCATAAAGAAGCTTATAACACAGTTAATTGGTTAAATATGTGAAAATTTCAGGCTTTGAATTGTCTTACCTTACTTTTCGACATAATCTCCACCCAGTTGAACACATTTCTGATACCGTGTCAGCAGTTTGTGGATTCAATCTTTAACAAATTGTGCATCCTGTAGTTGGAACCTTTTTTTAACAGGTTCTTGCAATTCTGCATCGGTGGAGAACTTTTGGCCAACCAAGCTCTTCTTTAATGCAGGAAAAATATGAAAATTGCTTGGAGCAAGGTCCGGTGAGTACGGTGGATGAGGAAAAAAGTTAATATTTGATTGAGGGGAACAACTCTTAAGTCACATGAGCCACATGAGGTTGTCATGAGGGAACAAAATTTGACGAGACAAAAGAGCGGGCCGTTTTCGCTTGATCGCTAACTTAAGATTTTTCAAAACTTCACAATATCTTGCGGCATCGATCGTTTTTCCTCCTTCCAAGAAATCGATCAGCAATATTCCTTGAGCGTCCCAAAACACCGTAGCCAAAACATGTACTTGTCTGAGGTGCTCCGCCGCGCTCGAATATTTTGAACACGCTGTGACGAGAGATGGACGCGGGAAAACTGACATCACTTGCGAACCGGTAAACCAAATTTAAAAAACGAAGGCTTTTTGAAAAGCTGCGAGTATAACGGTAAAAATAGTTTTCACCGTTTTAATTTATCTTCATTAGTTTTGAAGAAAATAAAAATATATACTTACTTTACGAATGCCCCTCGTAGTAATGTAAATAAATAATTAAAATTGGTGCCTATAAGCACGTACAGGGAAGTAATCTTTTTTTTTTTCTTTACTGCCTTTAATCCCTGTGGGGCCCACAGCCTACTAGAAAGTAATTTTAGTATCAATAACAACTTCAACAGCTCAAAGTATGCAGTTTAAGGTCTCTGTCACCTAGATTCAGCATGTTTTTTGCAGCCAAATCATCAGTGTACTTTCCATTCACCTCTTTACCAAGTAATCCGAGGGTGTAGCAATGTCAGTTATTGTTTCTAGTTTTTTTTATTTTTATTAATTTTTTGTCTGAAGAGGGTGCATCACCTGCAAAATCAAGCCAGCCAATGATAGGTTTGGATACTACTAAGCCAAATAATTCAGGTCCTAGTGTACGCGTCAACAAGGGGGCTGCGTCCTCTGGCCGCTCTGCAGCGTAACTCTTGAAAGCGCTTCATGTTGCAGTGCCACAGTGGATTTCATTTCTTTAACTTGAGAGAAATGAACCCCCTGTCCATTCCGAGGCTCAATTCCTGAAAGCTCTTTGCGCCGCATTACCACAGTGGATTTCATTTCTTTAACTTCAAAGAAATGAAAACAATATAAAAAAACATGGGAAACAACTATTGTGTTATAATCATTGAATGATAATAATCTTAATCAAAATTCAAACCACATAAGTGGAACAACAGAAATAAGATGGACCCAGAAACAAAGAGAACATTTTTATGGGTATTCCCCCGCCGCCCCTGCCTGCTCCCATCATCCCTCTACATGCCCATCTCCATTCATCCACATCAAGGGCGACCCTTTTGGAGCCCAAGAGATATTTATGGGTATTTCAGGCTGCTACTGCTTGTCGCTAAAAATATCGAATAGTACGCTCATTTGCCTTTGAAAGGAGTCTGTGTCATTCTTACGCAGTCTGACAACCTTTCTGCCCCAGTTTCGCAAATTTGGAAAAAACGCAATAACTCCCTCTGAACAGAAACTTCAAAAATCGGGCTTCTAGGTGCACATCTGCGTATTAAGCTCCATCAATGGGTAGAAAGTCTGTACTGAGTGTTCAATGGTGTGCTTTGTTCACCATGGCATAAGAACGGTGGATTTTTTAGATTTCTTGCAACAAATTGTCTTATTGTCAACATTTTATGAAATGAAAGCCTCTGTATAATCAATTCAGCTCGCTCCTTAATCATGACCAATCCCAATTTCGTGGAATCAGCATTAGTCCTGAAACGGCCAAAAATAGATTTGCACTTTTTTTTACAATAACTGAAGAATTCCAAAAAAAGCGACAGAGGTGCATGACAGCACATAAAGTGTCGCATCTCCGTAAATGATGCAGATCTCCACAATTTTAAAGGCTCCGAATTTTATAATATAGTAAGTTATGAGATCCTTCAACTTTGCAAAGTTTGAATTTCCTCTTGTTCTGCATAGTTTTCAATTAAATCTGCCCTCTATTTTTGCATCATCATTTTTACTCTATATTCCTCGTCAATTCGTACTCTTATTTGTGTGGATTTTTTTTTCTAGGTGTGGCTGAAATAATTTTAAGCATGCAGCGGCAGTTAAGTCTGAAATGCATGGCAGCAAAAGTAGTCAAACAGAACAATATTCCATACCAAGGTCTCGTTCCCAAGGCTCTTGAAAGTTTCATCGAACTGCATGGAACAGGTAATCATCAAGATTGTTCTGACATTTATCTGTGAGAAAAGTCTCCCACAAAAAATCTTAATTTTTACCCTTAAAGATTCCATTTAAACGATAACCTCTAATGTCACTACAGTGATGAAGTTCTTTTTTTCCCGCCAATCTGTTCAGATGAGCAGTTTCAAAATTATTCCACTTTCATAGTTTCATCTTCCAATTGGCCCCTAATCGAAATCTCAGTCAGGTAGTCTACGGAATGATTTGTGGCACCGTATGACATGACCTCATGAGGTTGACCATGTAAAATTGGCCTTTCATGTCAGGGCTTTTTCTGAACATCAACGATAATTTTTCGTGACCATCTTAGTAGAAATATAGAGTGAAACCTTGAAACTCTACAGAAAGGCTCTCTCAAGTTAAAAATAAACTCTCCAACTTCAATCAATCAGTATATCCTATGTCAATGCAACTTTGAATTGATGTTCTTTTTGTGACAATCAAAGCTCATTCATCAGAAATCTTCCATGGATTCTTTTTTCCAAATATTTTTGTATTGATTTTAAAGCCTTCAATTTCATGTTTTATATTCATTTGCCAGTTGTTTGAGTTTATATCCAGGAATATTCATACTCAATATCCTCTTTATTTTAACAGGCATGCATCCTTTTCTCTGTTTTATTTATGTTTGTCAGAGGAATTCTCTACCTATCCTTGTCTCACAACAACTCTGACCCTAGCTTACATTTCCTCTTTTCCTTAGAGTTTCTAAATGGCAATTATTCCCTTCAAAATTCCTCTAAAATTCATAGAGGAAAATAGTATTTTGTTTCAAGTAGTTTACCTACAATCGTTGCTACAAATATGGAGGATTACATCGATTGGGTTTTGGCTTGTGACTCTTCCTTGTCTTAGTTTCCATCAGTATTTGATTTGACTTTTGAAACTTAGTATTTCAATTCGGAATGTAATTTTTAAGAGACATCGATTAGAGGTAGTTGAAGTTAAAATGGTGTCGGTAATTCGTACTAGCCCCTCCCTCTAGTTGATTTGAAAGTAAAGGATATCTTGTGATCCAAGCAGTGAACATGATTGTATGGGAGTTTGCTGAATAGTCGAGAATGAAGGCTTATCAGGAACCACTACCTTTTTTTTATTTCATTGTTTTCCTCCTTTGGCTGGCAACCACTTCCTAAAATCAAATATTGCTGATTTAATTGGGCTCTTCACATCTATTGCAAAGCACTGGCTCTTATAAATAGAGCCGTACCCAGATTGTCTAAATGTATCAATCGGCCTTTGTGTTTCATTCACTTTGCCTTCACAGGAAGAAAAATTGAGAAATTACTAGTTTTTTCTCCCAAGACTTTTAGAAAATTCATGTTTCCGACTCCATCAATTTTTGCCCTACAATTAGTCAAACATGTAACAGCACTTATTTATTTTAACTTCTCTGTGATGATCCATGTTACTAACAAGTTAGCTTCATGTTGCATCTGTGTGCCCCCATAACTGATTCCTCCAAAAGTTGTGTGAAAACGGTGAACCTAACAGCCTGTGCATCAGTCGTAATCCCTGATTTGAAATTGACGGAAATAAGTTCTGATATTGAAATGCTTTAGTCAGCAGGAGGAAAAAAAAAAAGTACATGAGACTCGTAGCAAGACACAGGAAGCTCTACAGATCCAACCTCCACGAGTGCCTTCAATTGTGAACGCTGCGAAAGCTGAGTTGCTTGCTGCTGTTTGGGCCCAACCCATCGCAAAAACTACCAAAGTGTCTTTATAAATTTACATAAAAATGTGTATTTGTCCTTGAAATTGCAAATCTTTGAAAATTTCAACCTCAAAGGAGGCTCTGCACACTAAATAATGTTTCAATTACGAACAATTTAACAACCTCAGGATGCTAAATATCATCCTAGCATCATTAAGACATTATTTCTTGGAACCTAAGCTTCCGTCAAATTGCTGATTGAACCCGATGTTAAATTTTTCGAAAAGATTTCTTTTTATTAAGACACCATCAGTTAGTAGACAGTTTTAACACCTAAAGTTCTGCAGCTCAATTACTTTCAGACATTTTTCAGTGAAAGATATCAATAAAATGTGAATCCATATTATTTGTAAGAGATGAGATGAATCCTGAATTAGCCTGTCAACATGATGGAAGACCCATTGATGATCAGAGGGGGCACTCAGAGGTGCTGTGCGAAGCTTTGTTCACATGGACAATCATCCAAAGCACTTTCATTATACTATTACAGCAAGCTCAGTACCGCAAATTAGTTTTATCACAGTGAAGACCACATACTTTAGCTATCCTTGACAGTTATTGAGTTCGTTAGGAGGTCATCAAAAGAACTTTGCAGAAGTTCACCTGTGTGAACCAAGACTTTTTTTTTAACTCGTTTATAATTTGATTCGGCAGCGGGTAGAGAAGAAAGGAAAAACATGGCTCTAACCGGGACACTATTAAAGGCATTAGAGAATCATTATCCTAAATTCATTCGTTAATAAGGAACTGTCGGATCAAAATGAACTCAAAACTTCCTTCGGGAGAAGCTTTGACCAATAAGGGTGCAGTTAGGCTTGTAATCTATTTCTGATGAAGGCCTAATTAAACATTTCTAGTAAGAGGTCTTGATTTATGCCTATTAAAGGTACCTTATTTCCTTATTTTGAATTTTACTCATGGTATTTGATTCAATATTTACAATACTAATATGAGGACCTAGCCGTCATTGATTTTCTTTTATCCTTGTAATTCAAGGTTAAAAACTGAATGCTATGTTTCTCCGTCTTCTTCTTATTATTCAAGTATTAATGTAGAAGAGGTATTTTTACCCGAATTTTTCTCCGAATATTTCTTAAATCTTTAGTAGAAATAATCTCTTTCATTCAAATAATTCACTTTTGTCGTTCCCTATTCTCCGATAGTTTGATGCACATGTTTTAAAAATTTAGTAATTTCTTCCAGACCTTCAGTCTAGATTTTTAATTATGAACAATTATGTAATCATAATTATATATTTCATCAATCATAAATACATTCTACAATCATAAATATTCTGTCCAATTTTCAGTAATATTATATCTTGAACACATGGCTACCAGAATTACTAAAAAATTATTTGACCAATACTGCCATGCTGAGGAAAATTATGATCTCCTTGAAATTTTCAATCACTTTAGATCAAACTATGAATGAAATTTTCCCTGGAACACAAGTACTCACAAATTTTTCCGAAAATCCAGGATTTGTTGAAGGAAAGGCAATGTCTGGAGGCTTGCACAGCGTTCTTTCTTAGCATGGCAGAATAGCTATCTATCATTTGTTTGTATCCGTACATAATAGGACCAAATTAGATTCATTGACATCACTGAGAAATTAACGTCAGTAGAATATTCTAAGCTTTGCCTTGAAACCCTTATCTATCCTCCTCTTACCCATGTTTCTGATTGAATTTTTATATTTTATTATTTTATGTTTTCCTTCGCTTTCTTGTCCAACTATTGAAGTCTGATTTTGTTAGGTATTCGTAAAGTTGATAACGTTGCCTTAAAACTTAGTATAGATTTCTTATAGTGTCTCCTTTAGTATTTGTCAGTAAATTAATATGTTTCCGATTATTTTCAGCTAATTCGTAGTATCCCTGACCATCTGGGAAATCACCGCAAGTCTTTCTCAAGGAATCGGTCATCAGAATCGGAGCCCTGTATTTTAATTTGTACAACATTTTTAATGTGTATTCTTTTTTTTCCCTTTTACGTAAAAATCAAAGCATCAAATGTATGAAAGTCAGAAGCCTTAATCAGTACATGAGAAGATAATTTACATGTCCGTTTTAATTGTTTTTAAGTTTTCTAGTCAACTAATTCAAGATGTAATTTTATGGCATTAAGGGTAGCAATGTAAGCAGAAAGAGAGCCGAATATTCTGTAAACAAATGAAGCTTGGGGAGAAGGAAAAAAAAGCAAACCAATGCAAAACAAATCACTCACTTCTCGATGGCTCGACTTAAAAAACCAGTCAACAAATCAAGCACTTCCCTCCCTCAATTTTTAAATAGTTCTACTCTGCAAATGCTGCAACATGAAATTGCAGGTTATCAGCGGAATTCCCCTTATTATTATCACAGATTTTGTTAAACTAATATTTCATGGGTGATAAGAAATCGCAGTTTACTGAAATCTTGCTCAATCTTGTGTCTTAACCCTCTTTAGTCTGAATCCAACCATCCTCGACCATTCTTTCAGCCTTGATTTTTTAACCAAAAAAAATTCTCTGTGCAAACAGCCTGATGAAATTTTCTTGCAGCCCAATGAGGAGGGTCTTAGAGCACCATTATTTTAAAACATAAGTTATCTAAATCACTGAAATCGATCCTAGAAACAATTGTGAACTGTAAAATCCCACTTACTTTCAAAGTAGAGAAAACCAACTTGAAATCGCTGTTAACCATCGAAGACTGATGATTATGGGTATCAGTCATAGCAGGCTCTAAAAGCTACTGCTTCCACTCAGACAAAAAGTGGCTGTAAAAACTTGATCAAAATGTTAATGCTAAAATTATCGTTGTAGCAATGTTTTCACAACAGTATTTTCACAACAGTTGAGTTTCTCCAAAGTTTGACTGTTAAAAATTTGCTAGGATACTTATAAAAAAATGCAGCAGATTTTCTGCATCCCAACATATTCCTGTCTATTTGTGCAACATTTTACAAACTTTGCGCTCAAAGTTTATGCCATTAGCCTGTTTTTATCCATATCATTATTATCTTTCTTGTGCTCTTTAATTACTTTTCATAAACCACCACAGAAATGTATCGATCATTCATTTTAAAATATCTATGTAATATTACCACAAGGGCGTCGATAGTCCTTCAAAAATTCTGTCATGCTCTTTCCTCTTGTGAAATTAGTTTTGATCATCTCTTGTCATTTTTCTAGATTTTTGGATGAAGGGAGGACGTTTAAACCTCATAGGTGCCTGATGTATTCAATTTAAATCGTTTTAGAAAATTTTGCCTCTGTCATCGTTTAGTCTATCTCTTTTATAGTTAAAGAACAAAAGGAATAGGAAAATGATCGAATGTTTCTCAATAGACCGTAAAAAATCAGAAAATTTCAAGAGCCATTTGTAAAATTTGTAGAAAATATGTAAAGATGTTAAATTAAATTTTGTTGTGGAGATAATTTTCTTAAGTAAGAAATCTAGCAAAATTTAATTTGTTTTGACAGTTTTTTTGACTGCATGAACTTACAGTGCTCATTTGTTTATTTTGAACTGCAGACTTTTGTTAGGTCTTAGTCTCCTACACACAGAAACATATATCGTCTGCGCTGTTTCAGTATTTCTACAAACATTTTATATTTTCTTGGGAGAACTGTCTCACGAATTTTTTTGAAGACGTTTGAGTATTTTCTCGCAAGTGTGAAGAAAAATACCTGGAAGTTTCGGGCCGTTTCATTTGACGATTCCTCTATAAAAAAATAAAATGTCAGTAAGTAAGAAATACTAAAACAGCGTAATTGAGGTAAGTTCCCTCGTGCAGGAGATGAGAAATTATAGTTATGGCTTTTTTAATCCAATGTTCAAAAATTTCTTGATGTCCTGCCTGGACGTTTGTGCGGCTATCAATTTAGAATTTTTGGAGGGCTGGAAACCTACCTAGTAGCAATCATTTTTATCAAGCATAGTATGCAGGTTATGGATTTAAAAAAGTAGCTAAAGCTATAAAATAGCGTTTGAAAACCTAAGAATTAATTCTAAGAATATTTGACAATCACTATCACTTTTGTAGTAACCGTCCAGTTTGACCATTGTAAATATTGGCACTAAGTCATTTTTTGTCCAGGAATCCAAAAGCTGCTATCATTTTTATGAAATATCCTCTTTGCCAGTCAAAAAAAAATGTTGTATTTCTTCATTTCCGTACTCATAATTCTGCTCTGCTTAGGAAAATTAGGTTTTCATTTTATATTTGTGATTCTAATCCTAATTTTCAGGAATGGAGCATTGATGCATTGAAGAAGTGTTTGATTGGTGATGTGTACTTCATGCTACAAAGCAGATGAAGAGATAAAAGAATGCAATTCCATTTTTGTATTTTTGAATTCATTTTATCAGCATTTCTCTTTTCAGCATGCAGTAAATTGATGGCTATTGTAAAAAGATGCAAATCTCAGATTCCGATGTTTTAAATCTCAGCTCATGTGTCATTTTATTCTAAAAGGAAAATTAATAAACGGATTTTATTTTAATTTTTTGTGAATGTTCTTCATTTATTAAAAAATGAATCACAGAAAATCGTTAGGAAACGTTTTGGTCTCTTTTCCTTGAAGAAAATGAAACATAATCGGAGTTTTTTTAACATTGCAATTGAGGTACGCTTTTTTTGCTTCAGCCATCGATATTTCAACATTGTTCATCTAGGATCTTGCATCATCCAGCATGAACAGATAAAAAATTTAAATTTTTATAGTTAAATTTCTTTCATCAAAACGTTACTAAGCAAAAAAAAGTTTCTCCCCATAATTGTTATACTATCATACTTGTTGTTCATTTCAATGTTCTGCCCAGTAGATTCCTTTTCACACATGTTTTCCTTCTGCTCAAACCATTGAGTTAAAATCATCATTTTAGTAAAAAAAAAACTAATATTGTTGTATTCATAGTTTTGAGAGTATGTACTTCCAACATTTCATCGTAATTTGTGTGGCGTATTTGTGGTCAACGGTAATATTTTAATTGAAAATCAAGTCTACAGGTTCTTTAAATTTCTTTCTTAAGTAGCCAATTTTTTTTTATAAAATTTACTCTGTAGAAACAAGAAATTTAATTCCTAAAGTTCCACTAGCTAGAATATATGCTTGCATGGCTCATAATAGTAGACATTCATGTGGAAGAAAGCTTTCATTGGGTTAACCTAGTCCAGCCAAAAAGGAAATGCTTGAAACAACTTTTATGTTATTTAGAGACATTTTTTTTAACACTAATGAAGTGAAGTGCGTCTTGCGTGATATTTATTCCTGCCCTTTGTGTCTTGTCTTTTTTATTCTTCTTCGTTTTACCTCTTTCTCTACTCTTGTATGATCAGATTTATTAAATTACCTTCTTGTTTCTAAAAAAATAAACTATTTTTTATTTTACTTAATTAGTGTTATTGTTTTCTCATTATTAGTCATGCACTCACCCACCATTGGAAATTATTGAATGTAGGGGAATGATAGCTTAAGTTGGCCTTTTTCATGAAAAACAAATGGTAAATATTCTGCTAATGAAGGTAGCCATTATCTTTAATGTTTGAGAAGACTTACGAGAAGACTATGAAACCTTCAAAATGTTGATCACTTTATATCTGAAGCTTTTATGTATTTAGAACATTATAAAAACTCTTTTCCAGAAGTTTCACTTATTAGCTTCACTTACATTGCAAATGGCAATTTTGGAGAAAAAAATGATTCAATTGAATTGAATTAAATTTAATTTTAAGAAAATCGAAATTACATAATAAGTGGAAGCAAAAAATCAAGTAGGATAAAATCTGAGTATGATAAGTTTGCCATTGATGCCTCAAAAATTGGACCGAAATCGTTTGAATTTCATTGTAAAATGCTTCAAAGTCAATTCCTATTCCAGAGGCTCCCTGAAATCGATATGATTTCTCCAATTATTTGCGTCATAAAATTCCGCACCTTTCATAAACGTTACTGTAGTCCTCCTCTCTCGCACTCACAAGGCGATTACGAAGTAAAGTAGTACGCACAGTGGCGTGCGTTGGGTTTAGTGAAAGGGCAAGTTATAGCATTGGCCATGAGGAGGAGGAGGTCGGGTTACCGCGCGACCCCCCCCTCCTCTTCTTAGGGTGACTATGGCAAGTTTTCAAAATTTAGATCAGTTCCCATACAAGGTTGCAGTGCCCCAACAGGGCGAAAAACTTGGAACAACTTAAAAAAAATTTAGATCCTCTGGAACTCCTATATTTTACTGTATTTCACGGATGAAATCTGATGGAACTTCTGGGAAAGTGTGGTCTTATTGCTTGCTGTCTTACGAACATACGACAACTCAGCCACATAACAGGAAATATGAACGGAGATTAATCAGTTCATGTAGATAAGTGCTCAGGGATTGAAAGAAATGGACTTCCTGAGCAGTTCAAGTACCGAGGTATACTCCACATTCCTCCGCGCCCAAAACCACTGATTTGCTTTTTAATGAGAGCCCGGAAATACCTTATGTAAATTGAGTATGTAATGCATCATTTTTATCATCCAACCGGCAACTCTGAAGGTGACAAATCCACGGAAAATGTTTTTATTTTCTGAAATCTGCAACCCTGTAACTACGTCACTCATAACAGTTGTTTGGGTGTTTACATCCCATGGCCAGTGTTGTGTAAGGGCATTTTAGTGATAACTTTGGACAGTTTTTCAGGATCATTATTGTTTTTCTCGTAATTTCATCGCAATCATGGTTGATAGACTTGGTAAGTGTGTAATTGGTAACCACCCTTTCACTGCAGTGTCCCAAATTCATTGCATTCCCAAACATCTGCAGGAACTTTTGTTCCGAAGAGGTTAGAACAGACTTCTGATAATGAAAGTTGGGTGCTTCCATGTATCATGTATCTGCCCTTCACTTTTCTCTCAGTGAACTGGAAAGTAAAAGAAGCAATGCACTTCCCAGAGATTCGACTAACTATTTGTCTTTGAATAAACCATTATCTCTTATATTTGAACTTAATTTACTACTAAGAGAAACGTACCTTGTACGCTTCGATGATGCCCTCCTCAAAGAATCATTTCCTGTGACTCATCAGTCATCGGATCGCAGCCCCATGTCAGCCTTTAGTTTCTTCAAACTTGCTCGAGTAACTATGTTAATAGCATGTCAATATTCTGCTTCAAAGGGGGTGCCTACTATCTAGTTTCATTACGCTCAGAAGTATCAGGTTGTGCACTCATCATTTGTTTCCTAAACAATCAAAGTGAAACAAAGCAAGTTTAATTGGAAAGTTTTCAGTGACTTGTGAGTGGACTTTAAATTGTATTGAAGACTGTGAGGGATCTGAACTTGCGGTCATTTTGCACCACTTCCATCATTGTTTTTTTCGTACATGAGATTCATGGCACCCTAATACGCACTACCTCTTCTCTTTCGATGGGTCAGTTGCTCTGGTCACAAAATCGTCTTTTGGTGCTTGACTTTCGTAGATTGGCTGAAAATATTAAGTTGCATTCAAGTGACAACTTTCTATGTTCAATATTAACCGAGATATTGCGCTTTGAAAAACTCGATTTATGACATCATCCATCGCGGCAGTGACACCCTTAGTTTCTTCCACTTTGCTTTTGTCTGATTTTCCTGTTGAGTAATCAGTGCAAGTCTCACTGATTGATGAAAGCAAGGTGGAAGAACTAAAGGGTGTCGCTACTGCGGTGGTTGACGTCAGAAATCAAGTTTTTCAAAGCGCAATATTTTGGTTAATATTGAATGTAGAAAGTAGCTATTTGGACGCATATTAGTATTCTTGTCTGATCTACGAGAATCAAGCATCAAAACACGATTCTATGACCAGCACAACTGACCCATTCTTTTTATAAAATTCCATTCAAATTTACCTTGTGTGCAGAGTAAAGTAGCCACGAAGAAAATAATATTTTTGAGGCAGACTTTAACCAAGCCTCATATCTTAGTTGCTTTTCAACTTCATGAAAACAGGTGTTTGTAGAACAGTTATGTAGAGCTTGCGTAGATAAGTTGGCAATTGTCAAGTTCCGACCGTAAGTGTTGCGCTCAACAAACAAATTTAGCAATACCCCCCAGAAGTATTGGTTTCTGGTGTCTGTGCATAATTGCACGTTGTCCCTCTCAGTCAATCCCTGATTGCTATTGGATTGCGGCAGCACAGCTGTTCGCAATTGGAAATTGACATGAAAATGGGGATACTGAAAGAAGCCCAAGAGTGACGTGCATAAAAATTTTTAAGCACTTGGAATTTCATCTAAAATCAATTGAAAACCCTCTAATCTTAAAAAAACGCCATAAAATGTTTATTAAGAGCCAAGACCTTGTAGCTGTGCTTTGAGCTTTTGTGTTTCCCTTTTGTTTTATGTTGAAGTTATAAAATTAATTTCTTTGCTGCTGTGTTTGACTTATTTCTGAAATTATGTAATGAGTAATTTTGACAATAAATTATCAATGATCAATTAATCAACTGCCAACTTATCTTATGCAAGCTCTACGATGGCATTCATGGCTAAATGGCATTCATTCTGTCGTTTATGTAAACCTCATCAACCCACGATAGTACACACCAAAGTTGTTTAAGAGTTGTCTTAGTTGTGCGTGTATACTAATCATCTTTGCGAAATTTTCATCGGCCTCCCAAAAAATCGTTGAATTTGGAAAAATGTTTGTTGTAATATCTATCTAAAAGAATAGTGTAGTTTCCATATCCAAATCAAGTACTTAAATATGTCAAGAATAAAGGCACAGAAACCTAAAAGTTGGAGATTTTATCCATTCCCAAATTTTGCCATTTTTCTTCTCTACTCGAGAAAATTTTTGGAGTTCATGGTTCACCTTTTGAAAATTTAAGAATGTATAATGATCCTAAGTATCTGAGTCATTAAATTAATTTTTCTCTTTTTCTCTCAATACAGTCAACAGTGAGGCTAATGCTCGAAGAATTTCTATGGTGGAGAGTTGCTTTGGTAGTTCCGGGCAGGTAAGATGTTTTCTTTTAAAATAGGCCTATCCATGGGCTTATGGTACCTTAGTCCACATGGCCAAAATTTACAGTATAATAACTTCTGTTGAGTTTGGTGGAGAGTTTAGATTTTGAGATTTTTACCGGAAACTCTCTAAAGTTTACCAAATGATAAGTCGCAAATTGTTTAGTTCATTTTTATGCTAAGCGGGGGTGTAAATTCTCATAATAACCTGGCAAATTTGTGCCCTGAACATAGCAGTAGCCACTCTTTCATTTCTTTGAGGAAGGAATTAAAGAAAACATATTTGTCGTAAGGTGAGGATTTGAAAATTTAGTGTGTTGGAACCACGCTTAAAAGAGGCAAGTACTGAGGATTGTAGATGTTCTTTGCTGAGACAATTGGACGTATTTCGGCCGTACAAAACTAGTTACATTAAGACATGAGCCGTGAGACCCAACAATATTTGTATAACTGGGCTCATGTCATAATGCACATAGTTCGGTTTGGCAGAAATACGTCCAATTGAATGGCAGAACACAAACAAGAATATATTCTCATGATTCATCTCAGAAATAAAATATTTTTCATTGATTTACTTTATTTTCATAGGTGCATTCATCATTCATGATTGAGTCAGGACAAACAGGATACTGTCATGATGCTGAGCAGTTGTTGCAATCGAAAATTTCTCAGAACATCTCAGGGAAAGCACCACTAATAGATCCATCCTAGAGTTTTTTCCTCGATTTTACCCAGCGGAAAACATAACTGCATTTACGGTTTCTAATATCATTCATACAGAATAATTGGGGACAAAATAAACATTTTTTTCATGACGATTCGATTTATTTTTCTAATCCTGATTATGACTCTCTTTCATAACAGTTTCTGTTTATTTGTGGTCCTTTCCATGATTTTGTTAATAAGTTCTCAAATTTTATTTTATAGCCATTAGCAGTCCCTGGACGAGTCTTGGTTGGTGAAGGAGTTTTAACAAAAATGTGTCGCAAAAAGCCGAAGCCAAGACAGTTCTTTTTGTTCAATGATATTCTGGTGTATGGAAACATTGTTATCAACAAGAAAAAGGTAATTCCTCCTTATTATTTTAGGAAGTTCAAGTTCAGCATCAAAGCAGTTTTTTCAGCTTATGCTCGCCAAAAAAAAAAGAAGAAGAAAAACAGGAATTCATTTTTCCTTGTCTTAGGGAAGCAGGCTTATTTCCTGCATATTTTAAAAAAAAATTCTATGATTCGTGCAATTAACTTTTGCTCATTGGCTAAACCACCAACATTGTGCATGAATTGAATTGTTTATCCGAAAAATGCCTCTAAAGGTAAGAAGGAGCATTATTTATAACAAGTATAAAAAAACGGAACTACAGGTGAAGGTGTTAAATTTGATACTTAGGGTGTTCAAAAAGTAATGCACAGTTCCGTTTTTTGAGCAAACGAAAACAGCTATCAATTTGCGGTTTGTGTGTGCTTAAAGACGGAGTAAATACCTATAAAACAAGATCAAGAACAGCTCTGTAGGTAAAAAATTGACCAAGTGACAGAGTTTTGAAAATAATATGTCGAGGGAGACCCTCCAGGATTTTTAGCTACAAATATGTTTGTCAGGGAAAAAAAAGTTAAATGAGAATTGAGTGTTTTTACTGAAAAAACTTACAAAATATTACAGAAATTGACAAACTTCAAGCTTCTTCATGGGATTACACGGCTGACTCAATATTCGGCTGTTTTTCGAAGTATTTTCCACCACTTTGAACACAAAGTTTCAGCCGTTCTGCCCACTTCACAAGGATCGTCTGTTTGAAGTCTTCTTGATGGAGGGTTTTGAAAAATTTTTGAACAGCGGTTTGGATCTCGGCTATGGAATCAAACCGTGTGCTTCTCAGAAATTTCTTTAACTAAGGAAAGTTTTTTCAATAAAAACACTCAATTCTCATTTAACTTTTTTTTCCTGACAAACATATTTGTAGCTGAAAATCCTGGAGGGTCTCCCTTGACTTATCATTTTCAAAATCCTGTCACTCAGTCAATTTTTTACCTACAGAGCTGTTCTTGGTCTTGTTTTATAGGTATTTACTCCGTCTTTAAGCACACATAAACTGCAAATTGATAGCTGTTTTCGTTCCCTCAAAAAAACAGAAACATGCATTACTTTTTGTACACCCTATGCACAACCGTTTTTCACTACCGGCAGACTTTAATCGAACCTCGTTTGCCACCAAGAAAATTCCAAAAATTTGTTAACTTTTTTCAAATTTTCTTCCAAATTTTTGGATTACCTATAATCCAGGCAAACAACATTAAAGTTTTTTTAAAAAGTTTAGTACAACTCCAACCTCTTCATTTAAAGTTCCTTTTTCCCTGATTTTTATAACAATCCTACCTCGGAATTTTTTCATTGGTGGTGTGTTAAGTGACGTTCTCTTATTTTTCATGTTTTTAGTATAATAAGCAGCATGTCATACCTCTAGAGGAGATCAAGCTGAACCCTTTGGAGGATGAAGGCCGTGAGTAGCATTTTTGCTGTTAATGTGTCATTTTATATATTTTCCCCCCTAATTTTCTGAGTACTCAACTGTATTTACATTTTATAATTTACAATATCTTCAAAAGTTTACAATCCTTTGTTTTCATTTACCGTGAGGTAGTTATGCAATGAGTCAATCCCGCTCAAGAGATACAGCCAGTTGATCATGTTGTCAAATGTTGAATTTGCTTGAAAATCCCTTTGAGCTTAGCAGGAAAGTCTCAAACACTTTTAGAAATGCACAGTTTAAGTAGTCTGTTATGTTCATTTCTAAATTTTCCGCATCTGTGGGCATTTTTCTTTTAGCTGTCATGAATCAGGGCTACTGAGAGAAAGTCTAAACTACTTGATTGAATAAACAGTTGACTACTACTAGTAAACTATTTAATTGAATGAATTAGAGGTGTTTGAGTGTTCCTTATGCAAAAGCAAATGCCATAAATTTTTTGAAATTGAATGCAAGGAGATTTACAATACCTAGTTCGCAAGATTGTTCTTTGTCAAGATTATCTCTTAAAAGGCAAACCTAATTGCCAGCGGCTAACAGATGGACTAAATATAAAAATGTGAGGTATTGACTACGTTAATTGTGCAATTCAATCTATTCTGACTGGATCCAAACCTCTTTATCTCGACAGTTCTGCTACTCAGAGAGTTGATAAGATTTGTGAGATACTTATTCACCTTATTTTTTCAGAATCTGATTTAAATATTTTACCCAAGCTTCTGTTGGATCAAAATTTGCCAACTTTATTTAGTCGGAAACTTAAAATGGATAAATAGAAAAAAGTGGGTTACTCTGTGGTAGAACAGTACTAATGGTTTATAGACTCATCCAAATAATCATGACATTCCAGGGACACTTTGAAGTAAGTTTGTATGTGGAAAGTTGACTTCTCGATGCAAATTCAATATGATTTAATTTCAGATCTTTGGGCCAAACGAAAAATTCCAACCAAAACTTATTTTCTCTGGAACATTCCATTATTCGAAATATTTTACTCTTTTTTGAAAAAGTCTCTTTCTGTAGAACCAATAGCAGTGTATCCCATTTTTTACTTTGTCTTTGGTGCGATAAAATGAACTCAACAAGCCTCTTTTCTTCCCACAGAATTGCGCAATGGATGGCTAATCTGCACTGCCTCAAAATCATTTGCTGTGTACGCAGCAACCTCTACCGAAAAACAAGAATGGATGGCTCACATAAACAAATGTATCGAAGATCTTCTCAAAAAAAGTAAGTACAAATCCTTAGATGCTCTAAGCCACCTAACTTGAAAATTTTTACCTCAGTTTAGCCCATAAGCATAGCTTGATCATCCACTCTTGAGATATTGTTACAAAATGATAACTACATCAATCATCAGAAATCTATCTACAGTTAATTCAAGAAGAACCAAACACAGAGCGCTTTTTGCTACTATTTTTACTCACTTTTTGCTTTTATTTTTATATAGAGATTACACTTTACCTTGTTTGCTCAATGGAAAAAGTGACGTACGAACAGAAAATTTTATGTAGGGCTGTGCGAGTTTGTTTTTTTAAGTTTAAGCCGAGTTCAAGTATTTTTTCACTGTTTCGAGCTGAGTACGAGCTTTTTCAGTTTTGAAAATGACCCTCGAGCCAAGTCAAGCTGGAGTTGAGTTCGAGTAATTTTGAGTTTTAACACATGATTTTACATTAAGAAATGACGGAGAAACTAAAAATAATAATGTAATTATTAAAATATTGAAGAGTTTAACTCTTTTGGCGTTCCCAGCTCAGAAAAGCTCGAAATACTAAATAAAACTCGTGTTATTGGTACTTGAGCCGAGTCTGTGTATTCGCTCGAATCTAACCTACTTTTCGAGCAGATTCAAGTACTCGATACTCGGCTCGACTCGACTCGAAATTCGAGTACTCACATAGCCCTAATTTTATGTCATATCTAATGGGGAAAAATATTCCTTGAAAATAAATTTACTTCCCTATAATAAACCGAAAGTAACGAAAACTAAACGCAACAAAACAAACGATAAATCAAGGTAACAAACTGTGAGCTAAATAATGAAATAAAGAAAGCCAAAACTAAAAAACTCAAATTCAAAAAAATTAATTCAAATTGCCGACGTGTTTCAGGGCTCCTCGACCCCTTCTTCAAGGCTAAATTCCGACTGCTGACTGTCGGAATTTAGCCTGGAAGAAGGGGCCGGGGACCACTGAAACGCATTGGCAATTTTAATTTATTTTTGTGAGTTTGAGTTTTTTTAGTTTCGGCTTTCTTTATTTCATTACCTACTTATTATCATCTTAGATGATCAGTTATATCAATCATTAGACTTAGTGATTTGAAAGTGTGACATTAAATTGAACAAACTTTTTTATTTTAACTTTCCTACTGTTCAACTTTGAGGCGTTGAGTATTAATGCCTATTTTCTACTTAAAGGTGGCAAGAAAGCATTGGAAGTTCATGCGGCAGTTTGGGTACCAGACTCTGAAGCAAATGTGTGTATGCACTGTAAAAAGAATCAATTCACTGTTCTCAACAGACGGGTATGTAGCAATTTATTTTAAAAATCTGGAGGATCCTGCGGGCTGATCATTAAAATCGGTAGACAAAGTGACAAAGAAAGAACACGAAGGAAAAATGTAGCAAATTTATTGGTCGAAATGTGTGGTTGTCATAGACTAAGGGAAGAAATGATGGACTAACCATGGAGTCTCTTGTGAGTTGCTGTTAGTTCCTCTATTATTTACCTTCTTTGTCTTTTGCAACCACCCGCTTCCAACAATAAGATCGCTCCACTGTCTCTTTTTCTCTGTTCTTCATAGCTTTGTCTATCAGTTTCAATGATCAGCCTGCTGTTTAATTTATTGTCATTGGGACGAATTTTACCAGATTTATTACCAGGATACTATAATTACCGGATATTATAATATTACCAGTCATTTCTTGTTGCCTGATTTCCTCCTGTGCTCTATTTTATCAGATGAAAATTAAACGTTTTCAACACCTTAAAACTTTTCATGAATCCTCTCTTCAATGAGAAACATTCTCACAATGGACATTAGTCAAGTTTTTATGAAGAAGATATTGCAAGTCAGGGCTCAAGTGCAAGTTAATGTTTCGACTTACTTATAGCTCCTAGACATAAACCGTAGGAATTCTTGGCCTGTGCTCCGGTTGGCGCCCTTGATAAACGCACCATAGTTGCTACACTTGAGGTTACAAGCTTGATAAGTATAATATGTTAAGCCTAGAAATCAAAGTTTATAACTGCCTAAATTGACTGTGAACCACTTCTAAAGAAAATATAACAGCATCTCTTCCAGCAATAGCTTGAATTCAAACTTATATCTTCAAGAATACACTCAATTGACCCCATCTTGTTTATTGGAGTTTAATTATGATAAAAGTCTTTCAATTTTGCACTGAGGAGAATTTATAATAAAGTCATTTTGTTTCTTACACCAGCATCATTGTCGAAAGTGCGGCGCTGTAGTCTGTGGTCCATGTTCGAGTAAACGATTCCTGCTGCCAAATCAATCTTCAAAACCTCTTCGTGTGTGTCTTAATTGTTACGATTCATTGTCCAGAGCCAAAGCACAGCAGAATAGCCTGTCAGATAGTTCCAAAGGAGGTTTGTATTTGGATTAAATTTTGCAATATCATACCTTGAAATTTATCATCAATCAAGGAAGTCCTCAAGAAATTATGTTAACAAGTTTTCCAAAGACAAAATAAAATATGACAGGAAGTCTGCAGCATTGTTAACGGAGATATATGGTTTCGCACTTTGGGAAATTGATTTATTATCTCTGAAGCATAACATCATCTCAGTAGCAAATTTTGTGATTAAAGAGTAGCCAGCTATCCATCCACAACAAAAGTGCCAATGTTTCGCAGAAATGAGTGCAAAGAGGAATCGCAACAGGACGGACCTTAAGAGAAATGTAGCAAGTCGCATCAAGTTTGTAGCAAGAAAAAGAGGTTAAAAGTTTTATTCCTCCATGAGACTTGATATCAAGGGCAAAGTTTAACGACTGTTTTCACATTCAAAATATTTTTTTGGACTTGGGATTTTTGACATGAGACTAGTTTTAGACTAGTTAAATTCAAAATTACTTTTCAAACCCGTTTTTACCAAAATACAACTCAGTGTTCCTGCTGAACTTGATCCAATTGATTGAATTTTGTCCCGTTTTATTTAAATTTGTTCTATTGCTTTCCTAGATCTGCCTCTCTTTTACAGAATCTTGAGATTTCCCTGGCTGTCAGAGTTATTATTTACTTGCACGATTCTATGTTGTAACTGGAAGCACAGTTATTATGCTTCTGTAATGAACAGTTGTCACCTTCCTTTCATGAGTAATTTTATTTGAGCCTCAAAATCTTTATTCTTATTGTTACAACGACGAAAAATAACTATGCACTTATTTAATCTTTCTCCAAGCTAAACTGACTCTTTATGTCCGCAAAGAAATGTAATAATGAAATGGACTGGAGTTTTAATAAAAGGTTTACTTTGACAAAAAAATTTATACATTTTAAAAATCGTTGATCTAAAATTTATTCCCCCGATTTTAGAGATCAAAAAGATTCAAAATTTGCAGAGTGATTACATTGGCGTCTCTGCTTCTAGAATTTGATAAAAATTGCTTGACTTAAATCATGTGCTGATTTTAACCGTTGATCGGCTTAAGGAATTTTTTTCGATTTTAAATTTACTTCGAAAAATCGATGGAACTTTTTGTTTTCTTGTGCTAAAAAACTGATATCCCGAAATAATTGATTTGAATTCAACACACCTGCTTCCTAACTGTCGAAAATTACCCTGTTTTTCTCCCACTAATTTTCCAAATTTTATTTTCAGGTTTTCCTTGTTTGACTCTAACTTAAATTTGTAATAATTTATCATTTTTTTCAGATATGGTTAAAGATAGAAATGCTTATAACAGAGACTCGTCTGGTGAAGAGGATTCAGATGATGAAGAAGAAAGTAATAACAAATCACAGCTTGCTAGCCCTGATCAGGTATGTATCACATTTTTATTCCAAAAGTTTTAGGAAAATTTCGGTGGCCAAACTACCGACCATATGCAGAGTTCCCGCAGTCAGGGAAAGTGGGGAAATGTCGAGGAATCTTAAAAAGTCAGTGAAAATCGGGAACTGGCAAGGAATTAGAAGAAGTTAGTAAAAGCAGGAAACGGAAATTTTAAGAAGTCAGTTGAAACAGCGAAATGTTGAGAAAGTTTAAAAATTCAGTTGAAAACAGAGAATTGTCAAGGAAAATGACATAAGTGCAGGGAAAAATCATCACATTCTCCTCATTTCCTTTCTAAAATGTGTTTGGCGCTTCAAGCAACACATTTTGTGTGTTCAAGTCTGAAAAAGGCGATTTTAATCATCCAGCATATCATAAAAGGTCGGGGAATTTTACCAACATTTCCCCAGGAAATCGAGGAATGTAAGGGAATTTAATTTTCTAAATTTTGGGGGAACCCCGCACATATCTCTGTCGTACCATTGTAGTTTTGTATCAAATTTTGTATTTTAAAGGATAGGTAATCATCACAATTGAACGGAATTCTGCATAATTTCCCATTGCCTTGTCTAGAATATTTTTTGAAAATCCTAAAAATTTTCAGCACAAGTTCAATCTCAGATAATCTTCAAGTTTATTGAAACCCTTCAATTAAGATAAATGTTTTTGTAATTTCACTGTCTATGTGTTATCAAAAAATGTAATTGAGTTGCTAAAAAAGAATGCCTAGAATCACAAGGAACAGACCAGAATAATAGAACCTGCAGGCTATTTAGTTAGAGTTTATAGACTGCTGGCAGTTTTTTTATGAACAGTCAAACAATTATTGGTCTTCTCTAGAAGAAATTTTCAATAGGTATTTCAATTGATTTTCTTGATACTTCGACGATTCGTTGAGTTTGCATGCTTTGCGTCACAGTCTCATCTTTTTCTAATGTGTTGATTTTCTCTTTTTTTCCAGCCAAAATTCTATGGATCAGTTCCTGCGTAACATCGAAAAGTTGACTCTATCGGTCTTTCTACAGAAAAAAGCTAAGTAAATTGGCCTAATCTACACCGTATCCCTTTTCCCTTTTTTTAGCCTTTTTTACTGTTCAGCGGTTTTAGAACTGTTCTGTTTTAATTTGTCTTTTACCTAGTTGACTAGCAGTATAACGAAAATCACAGCCGGCTCACAGAAGTTTTTGACCCTTTTAAAAAAAAAGGAGGGAAAGGAAAGTAGCGTTTTCTGCTCCAGCGCTTCAGCAGTGGTTAAATCTTATTAAAATGAGCAGCCATTACATCTGATAAAGTTTATTTTTAGAGATTAACCAGGATTTACTCAGGATCTTGGGTCAAGAAACAAAGATCATTTTTTTTTTTTCTTGCAGAAAAATATTGGTAAGATTTGACAACTTTACGGAAAAATCAATTCTCAGAATATTTTGTGTAATGTGGATTAGATGTTACAGTAGTCAAAAAGAGGTGCAAAAGATTCAATATGCAGTTTTTCATGGACAATCTAAATAGGTCTTTTCTGAGTAGTTGTAGCACAAAAAATTTGATTTTTGGTTATTAAATTGATGAATTACCCATCGATAAGTCATCTGTAGGTTTTATGGCAGTCTCCATTAGCAATGATATCTAAAGCCACTGTAGTAACTTTCTTGCCTTATTTCAACAATCTTTTCAGTTTCTCACGAAATTTTACGTAAGGAAAACTTTACTAAAGCCCTGCAAAAATTCCTTGCCACTACTCCGTTAGTTTTACTGTGCAAGCAAATTACAAAGGTATCCTGTGAGTTTTTAACAGTAGAGATATTTTGTAGTAAATTTTGCTAATTTGATTAAGCTGTCATCGATCTCTCAGAGGTCGTTATCTTTTTTTGATATTTCATATAAATCAGCATACCAAATTCTGCTCTTGATTTTAATTTTTTAAAAAAAAGAAAACTTTCTCTGTGAATTATTTTATTGTTTTAAAGATTTACATCCAACCGTCATTGAATTATTTTCTTGTTTAAGCCACTCTGCACATTCTTTTGTAGAAAATTCAATGGATGTTTTTTATTGTACAATCAATTTTTTTACAGGTCAAAAATTGACCATGAAGTTAGCCTTTGGGGCATGATGTTGCCTGATACATAATAGTATGATAGTTCCTCCAACTTCAAGACTCCGTCAATTATTCTTTTTTCACTTCTACGGTTAAAAATAAATATTGCTCCAAGCTCTTTTTACTCTATGCGATTGCTCCTCACTGCCTGATGAAACAACAAACAAAATTTAATCAACGAATCTGACCAAAGAAGTCCAGCGTTGCTGCCAACATTGGACAGTTATTATATTTCTGCCTTTTCCAGTCACTTGTGACCGAATGGCTTTTAATTTATCCAAGTTAAAAAAAAAAATATTGATTTGCTTTTATAGAACGTATTTCTAAATCAAAGTTTCTCAGTTTTGGACTGAAAAATGCATTTATTTTCTCCTTTTGATTCTGGTCAATTTTTTAGCAAAAATGACACACGCTTCCTTAAAAAACAAATTCTGGAAATTTATGTAAAAAAAGATGATTTAAAGTTATGTTATCATCTGATAAATTAACTGTAAAATTCTATCCTGTTGAATGAATACTTGGATGGTCAATTATAGTTGCCAGATAGTTGGTTTTCCCTATTTGAGTTTATGTATAGGATCCACATTTTACTGGAAAAGCTGGCAATTTCGTAAAGGTCAATCAAATAGTGTGAAATGGGCTTTATGCTCTCCGTTTTGAAGTTTGTGTAAATAGTGATTCCTTTATTTTATTGAATTTATAGTATTTACAAAAAATTTTACCAGCATGTACAATTTGAATTTTGCTACATAATCCTTTATTTTAAATCCTGCTGTGTTTAAAAAATCTCATCGAACTTAGTCTTGCCGTAGTTACTTGTCAAAGAAATAATGACCAAAGAGGAAAAGACTCGTGTCTCTTTGAATTGATATAACCCTCGGTATTCCAAATGAACTCTATTGCTTGCCAAATTTTATTCCCCTGTTTCTGCTAATTGAGGACAACATAATTCCCTCGATGATGCATTTTAACTCTATCTATCGAAAGCAATTTTTTCACAGTTCTTAAACTTTGTAGAACCTCGTTCAAAATATATTATAAAGTAAGTGTAATATAGTATACTCCTTGTACTATAATGTAAGAGACCCCTCATTTTTTAATGTCAGGAGATCCAAAAAATCAATTTTGTTTTTTTTTTAAAAAAAATAATGCACGAACAGGTCTGACCTGAATTTTATGTTTATTCAACACATATTAATTATTACTGAACGCTTCTCCTCACTGTAATCCTATCGCCACCCCCCCCCCCCCAAAGAAAAACCTCCAATTTTCTCTCACCTCATTGCATGATTTAGCTGTTGTGTTTACTGTTTTTCTACTGTTTATACCCTGAAATCTCTTTTGTGCCTTGTAACTTCGTTAATTGGTGACCTCAACATAGTCCTGTGATCACAGACATTCTCACAAAGAACCTTATATTGGATCGGCATTTAACTATTTTATGTATGTATGTGTAGCAAAATTTACACTTCTGATCAACCACTCGATATGGAATCTTATCCGGTTCAGAAATATCTCCCAGAAGTTATTTATGAATGCTAGAAATAAGTTGAGACGTTTCAACTCTAGTGATTTAACAATCGTAACAACTTCTTTGAGAACTTCATTTCCGAAATACCAGCATAGTAGTGCTCAAGTATTTCAATCAATTTTTTATCTATTCATCACACTTAGGTAAGCCTGCCTGAGGTTACCTTGCCTGGAAATGAACTAAGAGTATCATACATTTTTATTTTCAACTGAGTCTGATTCAGTTTCCTTAAATGAGCAACGGTTTATCTTGGCCAAAGTCCATGCAAAATAAGTTTACGCCCATTTAGACTCAGACAGAAGATCATTTGGTGTCAGCTGAGCATTGAAAGCAGATGCAAGAATCAAGATCGCAGATCTTCTGTTGCAGTCTAAAAGTGCATAAACTTATTTGGCGTGGACTCTAATCGGTGCATATTGACGGTGAGAAATGCGTATCTGAATCACAATGATCAATTTTTTACTTTCTACCAAAAAAGCAAATCAAATTATTTCCTTACAATTTTGTCAGAATTTTTTGAGTGAGTAAAGGAAACTCACAGAAAATTTCTATAAAGACCATTAGTTAATTTTCTTTCGAAAAAATAAAACATGAAGGGAGACTTACCTAATACATCGCAATCTATGTTACGTATTTTTCGACTTTATCCATTGATATATCAATTATCATCTCTCATAAGACAAAGTCTTTCGAGGTCTGCATACCTTAAAGATTTGACCTGTTTCAGTATAATAGTCTAGTTGTTTATCTTCTATTATTTGATGATCACAGAATAGAGGAAAGACCATTAGAAAGGTTTTTCCAAAGGATGGAGTTGAGGTCGGACTGTCAAAATTATTTTTACTAAAGAACAGAGGTCTCTCTTTTATTGTGTACATGCAGAAGAAAAGTTTGAAAATTCTGGTTTGCAATTTAAATTGAATTCATGCTATTTCTGCTTCTTAAGTAATTCTCGAATTAATGTTACTTTTCTCTCAAGTGCCTTACGTGAAGTTTAAAAAAGTTTAAAATGGATTAGAATATTCACAATATTGTATTTGATGATTTTTAGATTAGAAAATATTGCGAAATATCATGACATGAGCCATCCAAACGCCAAGCTTCTGCATTCCATTGAATGGGAGTTATCGCTCTTCGAAGAACCAGGTGAATTCTTTCACCCATTGCATTAGTTCAGTTCCCATCATGGTCTTTTTCCTCCCCCATAAATCTATAATGAAAAGTATTAACATCAGTAAGAAGATGTATCAACAGATAAGCTCATTCTAGAGGAAACCATGGTGTGCACTGATATGTGGTGGATAAAGTACATAAATAAAACTCGTTTCAGGCAGGTAGGCAGTTGTTGACTGGTGATCATCATGCATAGTCAAAAAATTCACGTGAGATGTTACTCTCAGTCACAGCATCTGTCATCTGTAAACATAAAGTAAACATCAGTCAACCTGCTATCTGACACAAGTTCTACAGAATTTCTCATAGGGCAGATTCTTTTAACATTGGACGCAGCTTGGGTGTTGTGACAGATTTTTTAATCTTTGCTCATGTGTAAGCTTCCATCATTAATGTACATTTTATGGCTCAAACAGCTCATCCTTACCCAGCTAACGTACTTGAATGATTACTTATTAATGTCTGATGAGGAACATGATGTACTGGGCATTTTTGACGAATTGTAATGAGTGCGTTTTGTAATGTGAAGTGGACGACAAGCTTTTTAAAGTGGAGTCTCACATGATAGGATTGCAATAGTGAATTTAAGACGCATCATCCATCTGCTTCTTACTCAAAACAGTTTAAGTTGTATTGTTTTCTCACTCTGCTGAATGATATTTGAGATTACACCAATGTGGTAGGTACTGTTTTTTAGTTGAAAATAAGTGTGTTTATTGTTAAAGGTATCTATCTATTACACACATGTTTGTAAATGATAGTTAAAAATTGAAAATGGTAACTCTCGTCAGAAGTCTCACATTTATTTGAACAATGTTATAAAATGTGAGGTTTTGCATAGCTGATTTGATGATTTTTGGATTGAAACAGAGTTGAACGCTGCGAAATAGAGCTCCGGAGGAAATCTTTTGGGTCAAATATGTATTAAGCACAGAGGACGATTGCAGTGTTGAATGCGGCTCTTTCACTGTATGAACAAGCCTAATATTCTTCATATATTGTAAGAAAATCCTCTAATATCCTAGTAAAGATTTGTCTCCTGAATGGAAAACTGTAGCTTTTTGGTCAAAATCATACGTTTTCTAGACAGCGAATACCACTAGGGACTGAATACTTACTTTCGCGTTGGATACTTCACTGAAACGTTCGGAAATATTGGTCTTTGAAGCAGCTCTCCAAGGTAACAGCTGTTTTGAAAAATGCTGGAGAGGTATATGGTGGAGTTATCCGTCAAGTTTCACCACAAAATTTTGGCTCTCGGAAAACTTGTCTTAAAAATAATCATTTTGGAGCAAAGAGGGAGTATTGATAAGAGTAAAATCAGTTAGACGTTTTTATGATAAAGCAATAGAACTACATTTAGATCAATGCCTTGCAAAGTCCTGGGTAGCCACTTCATTGTCATGCAAAAAAAAAAAAAAAAAAATTGTGAGAAAACTGAAGGAAAAGAGAAACAGCGAGGTGAGCTACTTAACAGTGTAGTTCCAGCATTGTTCATGCATTCAAGAGATATGCATGCAATGCAAAGATGGATCGGAACTTTTTGATGGCATTTGGTATTACCATTAGTATTATTAACTGTTATTGTGTTTTAGCAAAGTATTAAATTAAGTAGCAATTACTGTCATTGATATTTTTTTTTTCTTTACAAATCTTAGAGATACAGTCAAGCTGGTTTTGCCTCTATCAATACCCTTCTTCTGCATTTTTCCTCCCGAAAGCTCAATTATCTACACACATTGATTTTATCATTATCAACTAATTTTTACTTTCCCAGATTTTTCAATCAGGCCAACGCAACAGTTTCTGATACGGATTTTTTTAGAAAATTGTCTAAAAATTTGAATGCTCTCTTCCCCTTCTTTTGATGTTTGTTTTCTGAGTTACAGTGCAACAAGTATACCGAAACTCGTAAAATATTGTTACCATCCAAAACATGTGTCTTACAAATTGATATACTTACAGATGTTATGTATTTTGAGCCCGTTCAAGTGATCGTCCTAACTTGTATTTTTCACATGGTGCTTACATTTTTTTTTTACTATAATTAAATGTAAGTAGCTTATCATATGATGGAGGATTAATTTCAAAAAGAAAATTTTAAAAATATTATCCAGGTTGAGTTTCGCTGACTAGAGCAACTACTTTTAATAGCAGAGAACCTCTTAGTCTCCCAATTTTCATTCTCAATAATTACTCCTCCTTTCTTTTTTTTATTTATGGTTAAAAAAAAAAAAAATAGAATAATAAAGAGAGATGCCTTATATTTTAATCTGATTCTCTTGCTGTCAAACATTTTTTACACTGTGGTGAAAATAGGAAAAAAAATTGTTAGTTACAGTGATCTTGTTTTTTTTTTTTTTTACCGTGCAAAATTGTCACAAAAGTATGTATCAGAATTTCAAGAACTGGCTCTCCTTTTGTATATCAGTGGAGGATGCAAAATTTCTCATACATACTCTAATGAGTTATACAATTTCAGTATGGGGGTAATAACTGGATGTATTTCTGCCAAACGGAATTATGTGCATCAAGAAATAAGCCCTGAGACCCATAAGAATATATGCATAACAGGGTTCACATCATAATGCACATAGTTCCGTTTGGCAGAAATGCGTCCAACCTTACGTCCAGTATTGAAGTTCATAGCCAATGAGAGAAAAAGTTGTGACTCACGACATTATAACCTTTAAATCTTTATTACTTTAAGGTGTTATCTTATCCAGGCTAGTTAAGACTGGCGAAAGACCATCATTTTCTTTTTTCCCTCTTCTACTTTTCATCATGAACTCTATTTTTATGATCAGGACATTTGTAATGTTAAAAGTGCAAGTCCACTTTTTGCTTGTAGCTTAGTATCAAGTTAACTTATTATAGAGATGCCTTGGGCTTTTTATCAGTGTATAAAATGAAACGCAAATGAAGTTCTTATACCTTAGTTGAAGTTTCTGCAAGTTTGTGATAATGTAGGTAAGGAAACAGTATATTTTTTAACACAAACTAAATTACCTATTTTTCTTAATATTTCTATGTTATTGAATAATAAAATTTTGAATAATGTATTGATTTTTGTTTCTTCTATTGTGTCTTTCCCATGTGTCGATAATTGAAAACACTTGAGTGAACGACTGACTGACAGAGAAAATTTCAGCGGAAAGGGATGTAGAGGGATCCTATCGGTGGAAGCACAAGGTTGCAATGGACAAAGGAGGTCGGTAATAAACTGACTAACGGCAACCCAAGTCCATCATTTACCCTCTTAATTTTTAAGCACCATCCATTTCAATCAATGGGATCTCTTCATACTTTCTATGTCTTCTGTGTCAACCACTTTTTTTATCAATTTCAACTAGCAGCCCACCGTTACTTTTCTTTGAAATTATTTAGTTTTTTCCAAATTCCACAGTTTTTATTAACTATAAAAGGTCAAAGTGTGGAACCATGTATCTCCGTTTGCGATGTTGCAGACTTACCGTCATGCTTTATTTTTCTTCGTGAAATTAATCAACATAATTTCTTGAAAACTTCCTTGAGTTTTCTTCTGTGTTAGCAGAATATTCTGTATAAATTGCAAGCTTTAAAATTAGATTTTTCTCTTTGAAAAAATAATGTAGGAGAGGGAATTTTGAAAAATTGCAATGGAGGTACTATGGAGAGTGAGATACACTTGTACCCACTTTATGACAAACATCTCAAAACATTTTTTTCAGCTAAAAAATTCAAGACTGGTTTAATGTGCTACATAGGACAAATAAAATTGAGAGATCGTAAGATGAGTTTTAGAAGGGCTTGTTTTTCTGGATCTCCATTGCAGCGTTTCAAAATTTGTGCTCCTACTTTATTTTCTCTAATAATAGAAACAAGCCAACTTAGTTGCTTGAAATCTGAACGGAAATTCTTGCTAACAGAAAGGAAATTCAAGGAAATTTTCAAGAACTAGTTTTTTAAGGAAAAATTAAATTATGACAGAAAGTCTGCATTGTTGCAAACAGGATACACGGTTTCGCACTGCGGCCATCAAAATGTGTCTTTCATTTTAAAGAATGATGTAAAATAAAATAGAAATTATTTTTCTCGAAAATGAAAAGATGTAGGAGTTAGGCTTCAAAATTTATTTTGAGTAGTTATTTTGAGATATTTTTCATTATCGAAACAAAGAACAAAAAAATTTGAAAAAAAATTAGAACGAATCAAAAGAAAACTCAGTAAGTAAAAAAAGGAAGAAATGACAGTACACTGGCTTGACAAATAACTTTCGATAGCTTTCCACCGTACAATTTACAATTTACATTTAGAAAAAGTATATGCAGTCTAACAATATGTACAGTATTTACAGTATTTTTAACACTTCTAAATACTACAAAGGGGATATAATTACAGCAATTGATAGAAATATAAGATTGAGGTCAATTGTTATACCCCTCAAAATATAACCTTGGATTGGTGTTCACAGCATTAAGAGTGATAAATATGATTGAGAGTGAATGTTAGAGAGAAATTGTATGTAATTTGAGTCCACCAGCTTGAAAATCAAGCATCTATTGTTACTGCTGGCAATTTTGAATCAGTGCTTATAAAAAAGGCCGAGGTCTAATTTTTCAAACTTGTTTCTTTGGCATTTTTGATGGTTTTTTTCTACATGATATTTGCGATCTTGTGCATCCGTCATTTGCGTTCCAAGAAGCGGATTACTGCTGCTTTCTTTGATATCAAATATGGAACGGACAACCAAAGAGTTCCAAAATGCAAAAAAAAAAAAAAAAAAAAAAAGACCATTGTGAAAAATGAACTTCCGGTCTTCGTTAAAAGTACTGATTCTTTTGACAAACTATGGAAAGGGAAGTCCTCGGACGTTAAAGAAATGATCTTGTTTAATTTGGCTGTAAAAAATAGACGGATTTAAGCTGTGAATTATTTACAAGCAAGGTTCCAAAGTTTTTCTCTTAGCTAAATTTATTGAATTGAAACATGAAAGCGTAAAGTCTTAAAATCTTCTTTAATGAGGATTTGCTTCTTTGGAAGAAAAAAAAGTTGTGAAAAAAAAAGAAGAAAAAAATCATAAATCGAAATGATTCTGGTATGGCTTCTCCAACGGCTGGTAAAATAATATCTGAATGAACCTGAAGGTCGTATAAATCCATAGAATGATGAACAGTTACCCTTTCATGAAGTTACTCCTCCGGCAAACCAGATTTACGCTACCGGAGAAAATTTTCTGCTGATTCAAATTAATATCTACATTGGTCTATCAAGTAAAACAAATGCACTCAAATGATTGACATAAGAAATTATTGGCTTCTGAACTCTGAGGAAACAATGGAGGCCTCTTAAGGCTAAACATTAAGTTCTGTGTCCAGGAGTTTCTGTTTTTTACTGGTGCTATGGTTTTCAACAGTGAATTTATGGGAGGAGGTAGGACTATCACTTGTTTGGCCAAAGATCATCTCCATCATAACAGCTCGAAGGTGGTCGTCATCCATTTCCACGTCCATTCCAGACTTACCTGAAAATAATCAACAAACTCGAGTCAGATATAGCAGTTAGGTAGAAACAGATTGAAAAATGCAGCACTGACTGGATAAAATGGCTGTATAGCAAGCTTTCAATACGTAGGGTGTCGTGAATGGTAAGACAGCTACTTCGAAAATTGATTCTTGAGGCCAAAATAATGAGTTTTTGTGCAATGGCACGGAAGAATGTTATACAGAAAATCATTCTTACTTCTGCCTAGAGAAATACGGGCGAGCAGATCACGCTCGATCACTGGAGCATGTAAAATTGTAGAATAGGGGCAGGATTTAAAAGGTTGAAAATTTCGCATGTTTTCACCTCAGTCCGAGTAGAGATTTGCAATTGATTGTTGATACAACAGATTAGTGATGGCAATTCGTCACTAATCTAAACATTGCGATTCAAGCAAAATTTTTGATTATTCAAGGAGAGAAAGGGGCTAGTCGGCTAGAGGACCACCAGACAAGGTACAAATTTAAGCATTGTGATGCATGTTTCACGATTGGTGCAACGAGAATTACTGAGCAAAGTCCTGGCAAAGATGTAAACGTTTTTCGATGCATCAATTCAAACTCCCTGCTCGACAAAAGACCATTATTTACCTAAGTTAAATCGCACACTAAAGGTTACCTTTGCAGAGACCTTTGCAGCTGTAGCCTTTGCAGTATGAAAAAGTGACAACCTCAGTATCGGTGCTTTGGCTCATCTATAGCATGTTGTTTACACTTTGAACGACAAGGAAAGAGAACAAACACTGTTTATTGAGGAGCCTGCCAAAATCGTTAAGTAGACTCAGGTATTTCATAAGAGTGCATGATTTTTTTTTTGTAACTAATGTTAATGTCTTGATTGGAAGTTTGAATAGAATTTTGAGAACAGTTAAATTTGCAGCCGGTCTGGTAGTCCATTCTGATTGATCACATCTTGTTTCTTGCTTCCACTCCTGATGAATCCATCCTTTTAAATTGGAAAAAGGCTTCAAAGATATCCCTGCTTTCCCTCGTGTAAGAATGAAAAGCTGTCCCAAATTTCTTCCTACTTGCTGCAAGACTTACAAGTTGGTAGAAGATTTTTCAACCTTTTACAATCATGGATTTTTTGTAATCACAGGTTATTACTGCATTTTGATATTATTCACAATCAGCAAATCTATAGTCTTCTGAATGGAAAAATATACTGTGCTTGGAGAAAATGATTACTTTCCCGTGAAACCCACGCCAACTTTTTGCCAAACTGCGACAAAGCACCTTTAAAGTGCAAGGAGAACGGATGTTAAACATTTTCTATAGCTAAAAAAGTAAAAATGGAAAAAGTAAGTGAATGGTTGAGGAAGGGAGAACAAGTTTTACTTCATCCGTGAGAACACAGAAACTAGGACTTCAGTCTCGGTTTTCATGAGAGGAGAGTTTGGGTTGAAGTTTAGATTAAAATTTCCTTCACCTCACAGGAAATTCAGCTTAGTCATAGGTATTTAGGCGGAAGTTTAGATTGAAACTCTCTTACACTCCTTACGATATTATGCTGAGTCATAAGTGGATTGCATTTTGCAAAAAGGAACCAAGAACATTCCAACATCGCTAAAATTAAGCAACCTTTTTTACCTTGCAAATATATACTGATCATCTAAAATGTTATATTTACTCCCAAAAAACTATAAATTCAAGACGAAAATTACTGTTGTAAATTTAATTTGTTGCATGATTTCAGTGATTTTACTGCAAAGAATGTAAGTCGCACAATCCTAGCAACACTGGAATGCTCTTGGTTCCTTTTTGCAAAATGTAATCCAAGTGTAAAGTAATTGATTCTTACCGTAAGCAGAAGACGATGGGTCAGCATCCGTTGTATCATCGCAATGAGATTCGTCCAGAGAATCATCTTCATCATCATCTGTCATCATTGAAATATCACAGATTGTATACGTAACAGGACTAGCAAGGGTTCTTTCATCTGAATCTGGTGAAGGTGAGTCAACTGGCGATTTTGTGCTTGGATTCACTGATGTTTCTGGAGAGTCAGCCATTTCCAGTGATTCAGAAATCGACACTGGACTAGATGGAGCTTCTGGTGACAATGGTTCGTCAAGCAGACGGGACGTAATTGATGCTTCAGTGTTTACAGGAGAATTGGATGGTTCCACATTTGGTTCCACATACTCCTCAAGAGTTACTTCAGTATTTGAGGACGATTCACGAGGTATTCCTTCACTTAAATCTTTTATTCTTTCGGGCCACTTGACTTCATCATCTATGTTTGAATCTGAAGCTAAGCGGCTAGATCTTGAAATCGATTCATTCATATTTCCAGCTCCTTTACCTGAACTTTGATCTTCGCTAGGACTACCACATTCTGTATTTATAACACGCGCTCTTTCAGAGCTTGTGTTGTTGGACTCATAGGGTTGTTGACTACAAGGAAAGCCTTCAAAATTTTCTTCGTCCGAACTGCTGACATCAATTATGTCACTATCACTCATGGAGCTATCAAGTTCTATACATTCTGGTTTGGTATCTGACTCTGTTGATTCTTCTATATTTTCTTTGGATGGAACGGAATTTTCTACATCTTTTGCCACTTCGAAAATATTTTTCAAAAGTGGTCCAGATCCATTGATTCTTTCTTTTCCATTAAGTCTATCGTTAAGTTCAGTTACTTTCCCTAGTAGGACACTGCTGTTATTAGCTGAAGTTGCGACAACAAACTTCCAGTCTTCTCTTGAGATCAGGTCGACAAAATCATGAGCAACTTCTCCATTTTTGAATTTGTGCTCTTTCGTGACGTGCAGAATTAATTCGACTCTGTTGTACGCCTTGTATGTACACTCTGGCCACTTGCAGCGGAACTTGATCCAACGTCCATGCTCCGATATGTGCTGTAGGATGTTACTTGGGTCTGTATGACTATTACAGAGAAGACAAACACCGTCCGTTTTGTTGTAATAATCGGTGAGTTGCTTAACATGCTCCGGACAAGAGTGAGAAAAATTATAGACTTTCCCTGGTGCAGTCTTTTTCTTACAATTTGCGTATGTTGCTTTGACACCTTCCCTCCGAAAAACACACTCTCCATCATTTGACTTTTTGGACAACATTTTTTTGGCACTGATTCGTCTTTTGACTGGACAAGCTTTCTTCCGCTTGTTAGGTATACTTTCACTTGTAAATTCATCATTCGCTGACTCTATCCTGACGGAGCCTTCAAACGCTGTGTCATTAGAGCCGATGTTGGAGTCTGTTGAGCTAATACCTGGAATGTCATGCATATTAAGTTTGATTAAATCTTCATTTATCACAGAATCGCTACTAAAGTCCAGCCCAACGCTCATATCGTCTTGAGATTCAGAGTCGTTGCCACTATCTGACCGGTTATTTCGTTTCTTAGTTAGCAAAGTTTCCAGACAAGTCTTCGACCTATCATGAGTTCTATCTTCATCAATCGTGATGACTTCAACCGGCGATGGTTTGGGGACTCGTTCCTCGGCCAACGAATTCGAGGACGTATTTTTGCAGTAGTCCATGCGTACCTGGATGCCAATTTTCTTCTCTGGAGCTTTGTCCTTAGCGCTCAGACTATCTTTGATCTGCGCCGGGGTGAGCGCTGTTAATGCAACAACAGGATGCAATTTCAGGTCCTCATTGTCAGACTTTGGTTGAAGGTCAGCTGGATTTGATAATTTTTCAGAGGTCACTCGGCATTGAATACTACTAATGCTACTAACGGAAACACGACTTTGGCAAACACGGGAATGGGCTTTCAATGCTGCTCGTCGCTCAAATTTGCGACCACAACTTCCACAACGAAGTAGATCATCTTTCTCCAGCTGATCAAGCCACTCCTGAAAATTAAGGCAGAGAGTTAGCTTGCCTCTGAGACAAAAAACAGATGAAAGTATTCTTAAGCCAATTAAGCAAAATCGCTAAGTCCACTACCCTCAAGAGATTGAAAAAATAAACAAGTATTCTTTCTTACTTTCGCCTGAGAAACTTTATTAACAAGTATCATACTGCTAAGCTACGGAAGAATGCTTTGTGAAAATTCAATAGTTATCAAATTTCCCTAGGTAAAACATTATTTTAAGGAAAGGTATGCATATAATACCTTGAAATTTTCAGATATTTCACATTAAATTGCAAGCAGTATTGTCAGCGAAATGTGAAGAAAATATTCACAATTTTTCCAGTATATTCGTTTTAATTGAGGGATATAGAACAACGTCTGAAGGCTCATACGGCTTTCTTCCTTAGCATGATTATAATAAGAACTGTAATCAGATCTAAAAATCGCTAACAGGCTTAAAAATTTTACTATGTATTTTTGAGGTTCAACACTAGATAAAATTAGTAGCTCGTCAAGAGAATTACGCTATAAGTGATGAGATCAAAACAAGCTGCAGTTAATTTGAATGGAACTTAAAGGACTGTCTGTCCACAATGCCGGAAAATACATTTATAAGTCACTAAATGGTTTTACAAGAAAAATCGAATTCCATCTCTACAATTTAGACTCTTTTGCAAGTCTTGTGTGCACATGCTTTTAAAAATTACTTCAAGTAATTGAATTTGTTAAAAACTGAAAGTTACTAAAATTAAAATTTGAAATAGTAAAAACTCACGGTTTTTCAAGAGCAAAGGACCCTACAACAAAACGGCCAGATCCGCCTAAACATAGTATCCTACAGTTTTCTCAGGGATAAAAGAGAGTCTTCCCAGACACTCAACACTTGTCTTATTATTTGCCTAGCCCTCAGGGAAAAGGGGGGAGAGGGAGTCAAAGTCAAAACCTTTAAAGTAGCATGACTCCTCAATGGTAAGTCGCAGAAAGACGATCTTGGTGTCAAAATTTTCAGAAAAATGAGAAGTATCAGAATATATGTATAAAATTATTACTATTTCAAAATTTGACCTACTTTTGGGGGAATTATAGAAGGTACCGCTCTCGTTAATTTTCGTTTTTCGAGATTTTCGGTCATTTGGTTTGCACAGAGCAAAACAAAAACAATTCTAAATGAAAGTAGAGTGTTTAAGGTTTGAAACAAGCCAAAGTTCATCTTAGGGAAACGATTGGAAGCGGAGTTTCAAGTCTTTAAAGTTGACGCGGCGCGCAGGAACCTTGTATGTTCCGAATCTCAAGGTCACTTGCACCCCTCGGATTGCTCGCAAGTGGCAAGTTTTTGTATTGTTATGCTTCTTTAAGTTGTTTTCTAAGTGAATCATTCAATGAAGACGGAATATTCGGAATTTGTGAATTTTACACAATGGTCCTCCGGTGACGCTTGCCACACTAACGTTAAAAAATTTGAGCTGCATTCCAAATTGCTCCCTCAACAATAACTGGGGCTTGTTTTGAAGCTTAAGCCATCTGCTTCTACGAGAAACTATTTGGCTTTAAAAAGTAAGATCTGGCAGGCGCTATAGTTTAGCTCAATTATAAAACTTTAAAATCAAGTATACTCCAAAATTTGGCATTTATGGGTTAAAATTATGAAATGGTTCAGTTCTGTATAGATCATATGTATATTTGAACTGAGGATCCATGGTTTTTTCTAAATTTTGAGAGCAGAATCTTCATCGCAGCAAATTTTTAATGAGATATGATCTACATAATGGTCGATACCCGTAGCCCTCTCTCGCTCCTCCCGTAAAATTCACAAAGTCCGAATATTCCGTCTTCATTGAATGATTCACTTAAAGAACGACCTACAGAAGCTTAAAAATACAACCTTCACTTGCCAGCAATCCGGGGGGTGCAAGTGACCTTGAAACTCGGAACATACAAGGTTTCTGCACGCTATGTCAACTTTAAAGACTCATAACTCTGTTTCCAATCGTTTCCCTAAAATGAACTTCGGCTTGTTTCAAACCTTAAACACTCTACTTTCATTTAGAATTATTTTTGTTTTGCTCTGTGCAAACCAAACGACCGAATATCTTGAAAAACGAAAAGATATAAAAGGGGGACCTCAATCAAAATGGCTCATACAAAAAATATCACAAAAAGAAATAATCTTATTTCGGTCAAAATTGATCGCTGAAGTTTCTACCATTTGATTTGGATAAGCCTGCACACACCGTGATCATAATTACCTCGTTTTCCAGATTCCATTTCTCCTGATCTGTAATTTTTGGTTGGACCGTTTTTGTCTTGTCAGGCAATTCCTTAGTTGTTTTACCGGGTTTCAGAATTTTGGATTTAATTTGTAACCTTAGTTTCCGCACTTGCTCATTCGTTTTATGATGAACTGAAAATTGAAGAAATTAGAATTTAAAGTACCAATCCGAAGAGAGAGAGAGAAAAAAAACGTATACACATTGAAAACAGTTATGCCAATGAATGCACTAAGAGGGACTCAAAGCCAAGTTCCATGTGATGTGCGTTCTGTGAAGTGGCAAAGGATCGAACCTAAGCTGGACCGGACACTAATTCTTTGTATCCAGCTAGATCCAAAGATATTTTTTACCAGTTTTTTGCATTGAGAAAATCTTTCGATTTTCCGAACTTAAAGAGTTTATTTCTCTCTCTGAACTTAAGATGTGCGTTTTATCAGGTGCCTCAGGTGATTAATGAACGTTCTAGGACTAAAAAGACCTGCAAAGAAGTTTCCGGATGAAAGATTCACTGACTTCTCACAAAAGTTCTCTGACTAATATAAACAATCTTCCTGATTTTTTTCTATTTCTTCAGAAAAAAAAAATTGCGTGACTACTCTTGGAAAGATAAATCTTGCGCTGCTCGAGACTGAACATACAACTCATTACTCATAGACTGCTCATTCATACAAGACTAAAGATGTACTGGTAGTATTTCAATGATTCTTGGAAATTTTAATACTTAAGTGTGGTTTCCTCTTCAAAAGGAAATCTTCCCTAACTTTTCCAGGTTTTTCCTGACATTTGCCATCCTGAGATTGTTAACTAAACAAAGGAAAATTATTAATATAAATTTTTCTATCATTGCGAGGATTTCCCGGTCTTGGAATGCTCTCCCATCAGAATTGTTGAGCATCGATGAATTGGGTACTTCCAGGTAGGCGCTGATGTCATGGAAAAGTCTGGAAGCTCCTATGAGGGAATTGCAAATCTTTTCAAGAAAATTGCCTTTTTAACCGAGCCCTTTTAACATCTGTCTTCCAGCAAGAGAAATGTGGTTAGCACGAGTGAGATGGGTAGGAGAAACAGAGTTTGGGAAAAGAGGGGATGCTGTGTTTTGGAATTTCAAGACTCAATTAAGCGCCAGACTTACCTTTGAATAAATGCCTATGAACACTCCAAGTATTAGGAAAACTGTCTTTGCAACAAGGGCACAAGTAACATTTCCTAGCTATTGCATGGATCTGTCGCTTGTGACGCTGAAGGACTTCGACAGTTGAGCAGAGAAGTCCGCCTGCAACAAAATGATTGACTTGATCACTGTATAACCAATATGATGTGGAGAAATTAAAAAAAAAAGAGATAAATTAACTTGAGGATAGGTTTCTTTGCTAAATGTAACCGATCAAAATTTTGGTAAATAAGTATGATCACTTATGATGATAATGAGAAAACGAGCCTTGTTCATTTTTCAGTGCTCATGTGTGGAGATTGTACTTCTTTGCAGAATAAAATTACAGAAAAAAATCAACAAACCCTGATTAAGCTGAACCAACATATGATAGAAGAAATTGATGAGACATCTTTGACAATTGAGGAGCTTTCCGGAAAAACGGCACAAAGCAAAAAATAGCGTTTGAGAAAAATGCATTTTAAGTTTCCATCATTCATTTCTGGCCACTGATGGTGCCTTTCATCGCAGCTTGGACTCCCGATTTCGAACAAAAGTCACTGTCAGTGGCCATAGAGTAATGATCAAAACTTCGAATGCATTTCTCTCAAACGCAATTTTTTGCTATGTGCCCTTTTTCCGGAAAGCTCTTCAATTTTTAGTGATTTTGTGAGATCTATGACTTTAATCTGTTGGTCAAAATTTCCACAATTGTATTCCTTGAGATTGGTATTAATTTGAGGAAAAATAGTTATTAATATCAAGGGGGAAAAATTTTTGGGATAGGTGGGGTGAACATACGCCTTTACCACAATTTTTGGAAAATACATACTTTCCAGGTGATTAAAAAATTCACTTCATCCCCGGATGTCGGATCATTTTCGGTTTATATTGAAAAAATAGTGATTGTATAACCAATGCTTCAAAATACCTACTTCAAACACTCAAATAAATACTTATCTCATGCTATATAAATCTACATAATTTAAGATGAAACAATGCAACATTGCCTCTTTTCATAGCAATCAAAATGAATCACAGAGCATTTATAAAATTATCAGACGATGAAACAGAACTTACAATCATCACAGGTATACATTTTGTTGCACTCTGAATCAGGGTGCCCGCGCATAAACTCGCTGGAGCCGTCCTCGCCATTCACTTGTAAGAACATAGAGTCCATACTTTCTGTTTGTGATTGAGCTGAATAAAGTTCTTCCATCTGCCAAAACACCAACAAAAGAACAGAAAATATTTTTATCAGTATCCACAAGATGGTAGGAAAATTCATGAAAATGATGATTAGTAGAGAAAGTAGAAATAGAGCTGTTTACAGACCGACAAAGCAAGACAGAGGTAAAGTTATCTACATTTCAATGGGACAAAGTGATAAGCTATTGATTTGATTCATCAGTTTACAGATTAGTCACTTGTTTCAATGTTTTAAAATTAACAACACAAGTTTTGAATTTAAAATGACAATAAGAGCCAAGAGGAGAATTTATCAAGAATGCTGCGAGGAAACACATTCATCAGCTAGTGGACACGAATAAAGTAAAATACCACATTTATTCAATAAAAGTTTTCATTAAAAAAAACTGTTTTTGAAAATATCAATGGTAACACTCCCAAACCATGTATTTTTTTAAGATGTTCAAAACTCTCCCCTCCCATTTTATTTTTTTAAAGAAAAAAAAATATACATCATTCCTGAAAGTTTTTTCAGGATTCGCGTCTCACAGAACAGAAAAATTACAGAAGTCTCTAAGAATTTACATTGAATGGTTCTCCATTTAAAGAGTGAGGGATGACAGAAAATCTGTGACGTTGCAAAGTGAGATGCGTTTTTTGGGAGTTTTACCGTCAATATGCAGAAAAAAAAAGGTTACCTGCTCTTTCATGGACGGTGGATGAGCTAAACTAGATGAGTTAGGGTAGTACGTTTGGAAAACACCTGCGTTGGAGCCCTGCAGAGTCTGCAAGAGAAGTGAATGCTCACTACTTGGAGAACACTCATTTCTACCAGAACGCATAAACACAGGTTTGGCGAAGCAACGAGCGTTGAGCACAGCTGCTAGATTTGAGCGAGGGATCATGCGGGCTGGGTTTTTTAGTTTTGTTTTTATCACATCGGGGTGAACTGCATCCGCCGGATTCGAAGAGCCGCAATCCACTTCCAACTATGAGAAACGAGAAACAGAAAAATCAAAGGTCATTCATCGAATGTAACTATCTGCAGTATAAATACTGCGACTCCTGTCTGGATTTTAACTGCATTCAGCAAAAGAGAGCCAATTTTTCATAGGGAAGAGCAGGTATTTTTTGATGTCTGTCAGGCTCCTCAATCAAGCAGTGTTTTTTCTCCACCTTAAGTTTTTGAAGTGTAAACAATACGCAAAAGCTGAGCACAGGCCCCAAGATTAAGGTTATCACATTTTCGAACTGCAGAGACTGCTACAGTGTCATTTAGTGGGTGATTCAACTCAAGTAGATTATTGTTTAACTTATTAGCGGGGAGTTCGAATTCATGTATCGAAAAAGTTCATATCTTGGTTTGAAGTTACTTTTAACGATTTTGCTGTACAAATTGTGTTCTATGTTACATATTGATGATAAAGAATGTATCATAAGGCTTGAATTTGCACCTTGTCTGGTGGTTCATTGTGAAACCTCATCTTGTGTGATACATACATAACAAGACCTAATGTGTGTCAGTGAAATAGCTCAGCATGAAAAAATTCGATGCTTCGCAAGTTTGTGGTTTTCAAGATTTCTAGAGGGGAAAATCCAATGAGCTCTTACCTTGTTATTAGTATGAAGCAGTTGATTAGATGTTTGATGTTGAGCTGTGCAGTAAACTCGCTTATGAGAGAGGAAGTTGGCAAGGCTGCGAAACAGGTTGCGGCAGACTTTGCATTCCAAAATGACATCGCACTCAAACGAGAGCAAATCTTGAAGCTAGATAACCCCAACAAAAACAAGGACACACTTACTCTTCTAGAAAGCAACTTTTTTGACATTGTATGGTTTTCCTGGTTTCTTTTTGTATTAAATATCCTTAAATATAGGATTAAAAATAATAAAAATGATACTACAAATCGCTTCTCAAATGAAAACAGATCAATTGAAAAAATGAAGTTAACTTGGTTTGTTGAATCAATATTAATTTTAGGCGGGCATATAATGAAATCCATGTCCAAAATCAAGTCCGGATTGATGTATATGCTGGGTTATTGTTTGGTTGATACAGTATATATAACATTTCGAGCTGTTTAAAATAAAACAGATGAACCCAAATGATCCAAATAACCCAAATGAAGATTGTTCTTACCTCTGAGGTGCCCTTTTCAAATATTTGACTTATTTGACGGAGACCCGATACACTTATATCGATGGGAGGGTGCAAAATGGCCGAATCTTCGCTCTTTTCAGGTTTCTCTGATTTTCTGTCTGCATCTGGCCGGTTTTTGACCTTGCGGTCCACCTTGTTTTCCGATTTGCTTTTGATGGTTGATTCATTTGCTTTTGGTTTGACCACTCGATTAGATTTTAAGGCAGGCTTCCCCATGATCTGGACACAAAAGACAATAACATCAGTTAATTCTAAAGATCTTTTAATATCTATGAAGCCGTTCAAACACCAAAAAAGTGAAATGGAAATAAGTCATTTGAAACAGAATATGTAAGTCAACAAAAAACAGACTTCTAATAGCAAGATGAGATATAATTATTATGATATTAATTTTTTAAAAATTGTTAAAAGTTTTTTGAAGGCTTTTTTCATTGAAAGACTTTTTGCCAAAATTCAGGTCAAAATATCATTTCTGACCATAAATAATCAGGTTTTTGCGTCCCTTGTAAAGTTGGCATTATAGCTTGTAATATATTTGAAAAGGTAGAGGAGCATTTTAAGGAAAACTGAACTTAAGATATATTCAGAGAAAAAACTGAACTCAAGAAGTTATTTTTTCATTATGCTATTCAACAATAAAGTTATTTATTGTCGGGTAGGGTTTCTGTATTTACTCATTTTCCAATTCCTTGACTCTCCCCAACTTAGAGAACAAAATAGGCACTCAGAGGTTGTTTGAGCTCTCAAAGGGTCAGTTGCGCTCGACACAGAATCATGTTTTGATACTTGATTCTTGCAGATTGGCTAAAAGTAATAAGATCTGCCCAAACCGCAACTTTCTACTTTTAATACTAACCGAGATAACGCCCATTGAAAAGTCGGGTTTTGGACGTCATCCACCGTGGTGGTAACACCCGTGGTTTCTTCCACCTTGCTTTCATCAGTCAGCGACGTATTGGTTACTCAACACAAACCTTGGATGAAAACAAGGTATAAGGAACGGATGACGTCAAAACCAGACTTTTCAATGAGCGATATCTTGGTTAATATAAAACGGAGAAAGTTGCAGTTTGGATAGATCTTATTATTTCTAGCCAATCTGCAAGAATCAAGCATCAAAACACGATTCTGTGACCAGCGCAACTGACCTAATGGCATCTGCTGAAGTTGCCCAGCTGATAAGAAACTCCCAAAAGTCACCAACTATTCCCAACTGCCGCAAATTCCCTAACTTTTCATGTTTCGCACAAATTCCCAGAATTTCCTGAATTTTCAGCTTTCTGGAAACCTTGGTCTTTCCATGATTATAAAACTATCTCAAAATCATGGAAAAGGTAAGTAACTCCTTCATTCATGATACTTGTCATTTATAGAGAGATGCAAGTAAAACAGAGGTACACAGAAAAAACACCATCTGCAAATTCAAAATAGTGCACCTATAAAGCATGAGAATTTTTGGGACACCACCAATTGTAACGGCACATGTGGGCTTGCTGCAGCGGGTGGGGTGAGATAAATATTCAATTAATGCAAATGAAAGGGAAAACAAGTGGAATTTTTATTATCCATTTGCTGAGAGGCAGTTTTATCAAGAGGATGAAGAGGAGAGAGGCAGGGCAGAATGATGAGTCGACAGATATCAAGTCTGTTGAGGCTCACTCAGTGAACTTGACACAGAGCAATTAGACTGCCACTGCACTGTCACTGAAAAGTCTTTACCATCTCATCAAACCCACTTGTCCTACATCACTCTCATACTACAGCACAGCCTACATTAATCACCCGCTACATTTCTATTTTTCTTTTCTTTCCGACTATTCCCTTCACAGTTCTTAAAGTTCACCTTCCACTGTAAATAAAAGAAGAAAAAAGAAAAAAAAAAGAAAAAAAGAAAATTCAGAATGCCACTTGAAAATCTACATAATGTCTAAATACCGGTTGAGTAGAGTTAGACTCAAACTAATAGGTAAAAAATAGAAAGTCATTAACTACATTCTTAGTCTCTCCATACCAGTTTAAACTTCTTCCAGCAATAATGTCTTGTGTACTTTCACAAATTAAGACCCGTTTTTCTTGAAATCACACAAATTTCACTTGACATGTTCATTCATTTGACCCTCCATTTCTACTAACCAAATAAGAATTAGCGCTCTGAAAACAATTCCTCCTCTAATTAAAGTATTCAATCAGCCTCAGAGAAGGAGCCTTTGAAATAAAGCTGCCACAATAAGACTACTAGCAGGGGACACTTTTGATCATTTTAAACCCATAAAAAACAGAATTCTAAAAAAAGACAAATCTACCGTATTTGGAATGGTTGAAATAAAAACATTCGGTTTTCAGGAGTATTCAGCTAAAATTTAAGAGAGCAAAATTAGCTGCTGAAAATAGACAGCTAAGGGGCGCATTATGAACAAAAAATTTTCCCAGGTATTCAAAGTTTAAATCGAGGACAGGAGGTGAATGACAACATTTGTAGGCAGGAAAACGACAAGTAAAAAAGTAATGCTTTATGCAGATCCAAATCTATAAAATTTCAAGTTCTTTTTCCCTTCACTTATTCAACAAAACTTAGCTTTAAAATGCATTTTACTTGAAAAGTTTATGAGATGAAGATCTTCATATTTTAATGATAGATTTGTGAGAGTCCAGATGTCAAACAAAATGATAGGAACTTAAGCGAGAAAATTGAAAAAATAACCTGAAGGATAATGTTCACATCATACCTTTAATAGATGTAAACTGAATTAGAAAGCATGTTGAGGCAACGCCCTAAAAACTGAAATATGATTCATCAGAGAAATCCGATGGTTAACTGAGGAGGATTTGATTTGTTACTTCACATGGGTCCTTTTAGGATATTCAGAGTAGAATAACACACCTATGACAGAGAGAAACATGAATTACTCAAGTATAAAAAAACATTTAAATACATTGATTGGTAGAGAATATAATTATAGAAGATACACCGTCTTTCTTAGAGATTTTCATTGGCTCAGGCACAACTAAGAAAACTAACCCTAAAACAAAAGCAGTTTTGGCACTAAATGATGTATCTATCCAGATAGTGCTGGATTTACACATACATCTAGCCTACATTTGTGAAGCAGGGTATGTCGTCATAGAGACCCTTACTTTAATATGCGACTTCATCGGCAGAAAAAGAAAAGATTTTGGGCATACTCAATGAAGAATATCCACCATTACGTAGGTGTGGCTAATTGATTGCGGTGATAACAACCTATCAATAATGATTTGACACAAGATCAAAAGATTTTCCACACTAAGATAAACTACAATACTGGAAAAATGCAAAAATCTGCAGTTTTCAAATGTTATATTTGTGGAACTCACAGTTGCGCAATGGGTATTGCCTATGGATATTGATGTAAAATTTCTAATTAAATGATGAATATATAATACAGTCAAAGCACCCAGAAAAAGACTCTATTTCAATGAATGAAAGCAATTCAGGCCAACAATCCGTTCAAAAGTTGGAAGAATAAAATGGAACAAAAAATTAACTGCAAAAACAGTAATAACCTTGGGAAAGATCAATTTTAGTCGGCAAAAAAAAGAAACAAAAAAAAAATCAAATAGTAGATATGTAAATGGAAAAAAATGGTTTCAATAAGAGAATGAACATGTATTGAATTGATAAGGTTTGCATATTATTGAAACAACAGACGTTAAAAAAACCTGAAACTAATAATTAATGTTGAAAATTAAATTGAAGGGAAAAAGGGGAAAGAAAAAAATTTACTGCCCTCTCTTGAGAAAAACCTTTTCAATACTTTGAAAATTCATTTCAAGATATCCTTCACAATATGCTTCATCATCGTCATTTGGGAAGTGGGTGGCGCAACTGGCTGAATACCATAAAATAAGTAAGCTACAGAGTGAGCACTAGACATGATAAATTCAATCCAATAATTCGTCGACCTGGATATCAAAATTTGCTTCCTTCATGATCAAACTAATTGGATTGAGAGGATGAGTCAAATATTGAGAAACATCTATGCTGTCTTCGGTGCGTATCAGCTGAAAGGTTTAGAGGGTGAAGCAGCAAGATGGGCGTAACGAGATAAATTCTGGAGGTGAAGACCCTTCATCCATCAATAATACAGCAATAGCTACCGTAAAATTGTTTACCAATAAGTGAGGTAGTGCGGGTGGTACTAAATGATGCAAGCAAGCAGGCTCCTGCGATAAAATGGAGTAATGGTTGAGGATAATGGCTTGTGCTAGATAAAAGAAAATGGCTCGCAGGAGTATGCCGCAGATCATGTAACTTCAATATCCATGTTCACACCATTGGTGTATACATTCTACACGTTTCTTCAAGGTATCTTCCAGTAAGATAAATGATGTAAAGTGGTTTCATGGTTCTAACAATGTGAAATTGCTTGCTTGGAGTGCCATTGAATATGTGAGGTCACCTCCTCAGATCAGCTTAGCTCTCTTCAGACTTTCCCCATTAAACAATATGCTATGCGAATGAAATTTACCTGATGAGTTGATTTGGAAGACAATGATCCTGGTAAATGACATGAAAACACGACGAATTGCCGGATTTTATCATGAAATTGAGAGGAAATGAGGTGAAATTTTCATACATGAACGGGAGTTCTATTCACGGCATTATGCATTATGCTGAGCTCGAGAAATTCATTTGCTACATTCTGGCGCTCTCTGTAGGTCTTTCAAATGAAATGAATTTAGGTGAGCTCTATTTTTAGTTTATAGAACTCTCGACAGGTTGCAGCACATGTTCCAAGAAACACTGTTATAAAGTTGTGCAAAATAAATTTGAATTTTGAATTAGTTACCACTTTTTCAAAGGGTAAGATGCAAAATTTTTGATATAAAATTGATCAATCAGCTTCAGAGTTGAGTTTCTGATTATTAAAAGAGACGGAGTGCTGAAAAATAGAAAACCAGAAAGTTGAGAAATTAATTTTCATTAATAGTACAGTTTGGCAACATTTCCATAGCACGTTGCCTCTTTGCCTAACCTCCAAAGTTCTGACGAATCCTCCACAAGATTTTGGCGTTTTGCATATTTGATAAATTTTGTTCAACAACACAGTTTTCTGTCCAGGTTTTTTAGCTTTTTGTAGCCTCTTCACACATACCTAAATTCTTATTGAATCCATAAATCTACCCTTATCGTGTTGCCAGTCAATTTATTTCAGGGTACGAATGGTGCGTTAGATTCCTCTGTCAGTTGGTGCAGGTAAGCAATTTTTCCTTTTCCCTACATCGAAAGCAGAGAAATTTCACTCTTGTTCTCAGTATTCCTTTAGAATTAAGTCATTATTCAAGCAAGACAGCTTTGTAGAAACTTTCACATCACCTAAGGGCTTTTTTTTATCCGTGGAACGCATGGTACGTAATGGATCGAGATCTTTGCATTTTGAGCTGGTTCAACTGGCCTAACCACAGCCTCAACCTAGCTTAGAACGGATGGAACGGGGTAAGAAAAAGATGCGTTCTGCAGCGATCGTCTGTGGTTTGGATCAAAAAGAAGCCTTCTAGCTGCTTTGTACGTTGATCAGGACCTGATCAAGCACTTGGCGGATTCAGTATAATCTCGGCACTCGTAATAGTGCGTAATTCTGCTGGCGTAGAGACAGGCATCTACACTTGTAGAATTGGGCTGTGTGCCTCATTAGAATAACAAAATCTGACCAAGGATGATTCCTTCAGTACTAACAACATCGACTATACACAAAATGAAAGACTGGATTTTTTAATAAAGAAAATGAGGTAAGCACGAACTGCTGCTAACATTTATCAAAACCCGCGAAGAGATTTCTGTTTTAGTGTAACACTTAGCAAGCATTGTCAATCACATTCGATCGAAAAGTTTTGCTAACTGATAAAAGCTTTGAACACATGATTTTCATTTACTGAAAAAGAAAAATACAAAAGTGACTCATTTTTTCATTGTCTTTAGATTGGAGTCATGGGCGTTCAAAAAAGAAGGAGGCGGCCTCGCCAAAAGAGGAAATTTGAGGATGCTGATGATGATGTGCCATCTGAAAAAAAGTATGATCAGTTCACTGCATCTCTCCGCAATTTGGATGGGAAGAAAAAGTAAGTCTTCAGATACCTACCCTCAATTTTGATTATAAAGGAGAAGAAGTAGAGAAGCAAAATATTCTCTCACCTATTCTAATGTTGCATTTTTGTAAGATTCCAGCAATGGTGATTAGGTAAGGTATAACTTGAAGCTCTTCATTATAATTTCGCTTTTCTAGGAGCATACAAAATGATTGTTCACACGACAGAAGTTTGATAATCGATTCATATTGAAGTCAGAGGTCCCCCCCCCCACTCTCCCACCTTGTAATGTTTTTGTAACGTAGATCCCTTTCATTTAACATGTAAAAATTAAATGGTGGAATGTTCTCCTCAAACCACCCCCGAATGTAACGTAAGTACTTCATGAACGGCCTCTGTAAGCACCCACATTGGACCCCGTGGTTGCACAGAGTTGGTTTGAAAATCGATTTTACTTTCTTTGATTTTGATTTTTCTGCAAGTGGGAAGTCCACATTTACTGATTTCAATGTCAACTACACATGTTACGGTATAAATACGTAAATGGTATGTATGGTATGTGGGTTTTTTATGTGGTCATCGCGGTTTTTTGTGAAATTTTTACATGGAAACATTCAATGGAAGATCAAATTTACTCTGTCTAGTGGTCCAAATATAGTTTAAATCAGCCGATTCCATTATTACTTACACAATTTATGAGTCAATTTTAGAGGTTTTTGATTCGACCATTGCGTTTTTTGTGAAATTTTGATGAGAGAATCCATTTTAAAGAAGTTTAATTTTTACCTTGTATAGTGGCTCATTGGACAATGGATAATGGGTTTTTTTAAAATTTCTGTTTGCTCATTTTAAGTCACTAGTTAAACTCAACAAACTAGTACAGAGGAAAGTTATATAATAGAATTACTTAAGCCAACAGATGAAGCTTTTTGTATGGCAATTGTTTTTTTCCCCCTAAGTCTAGGTAATATTTTAATCTTGACAACAGCAAAATTCAGGGTGAGCTGAAAAATATCTGGCCAATTTCAACTTTTTCTTCAATTTTTTGGGTAAACGTTGGTTTCCTGATGTGTTTAAACCTCAAGATTCGCCAGTTACAATCATATATACCTCTCAAGATATGAAAAGGTGATAAAATAGTGCTAGGTCCACACTATTTGGGCCACATTTCCTGGTGTCCTTTCCTCCTCTCAAGATACATTCACTCTCCCAAAAAATGTTTCCCTTCTAAGCTCATCACTATGTTGCGCTTTATACAGCACTTGAAAACCATTCTTTGTAAAAGATCCACATAAGTAATAACAAGTAATTGGTTTGTCTACCAGGCTGCAGGCACCAACTAGAGTTGAACCTAGTTTTCAAGTGTCGGAGTTTCATCTCGGGAAACAACGCGATGGCAGCTCAAAAGCCAAGGACACAGTGAATGTTCAAGATCTAGCCCAACTGTTGGCCAAGAAGCCCCATTTAGCATCTATTCATCAACAGTTCCGGGAGACACAAAAGAAATCTCAAAAACTCCCCAAACCATTAGAACGGACCGTCGAAAAAAAGGTAAGCATTTTCAAATGTTTTTGTCGTAATGATCCTCGGCCATCACATCTAGGCCAGACAAGTGTGGATTCTGTTAAAAAGTATTTAAAGTGCCTAAAGGTCGCCAATTTTGCTGAATCAGGCCAATGTGCCATTAATGTCTTTGGTAATGAGCACAAATAGTAAATTTAAGGCCAAATAACGAAACTGCGTAACCAATTGCATTGTATTTTAAGACACTGCAATGGAGATACGTGGCTTTGCACTTTGGCCATTGAAATTTGCCATTCCATTATGATATTCTCCTCTTTATAACTGATTAGGTACCAGTAGAATCTTGTATTCTCTCAACAAACATAAAAAAGACAGCCTGCATCAGCCGAATTCCTCCCCCTCTGTTTGTTTATCTACAAATAGGGGTGTTCAAACGAATTCTTGTCGGAACACTATCGATATCGTCTCTTATTGAAACTGGCAGGACCGACAGTGGCGATGATATCTTTAACAGACGGCCTTATCGGATTTTTGAGAGCTCGCACTCAATGCATCGTTGCCCCGTGTGTCGGTTTATCAGATTGCCTGATGCGGCGGCGCGTGAAATAGATGTACAAATGGCAACAGCTTATTTTCGTCAGCTCCGAAAACTCTGATCGCTATCGGCAAGAGTGCTCTTATTGTAACTTTTTCATTACGGAACTGTTTCGGTAACTTACCAACAACTGATAGAACAGCCCTATTTACAAAGGCTGTCCCACAATGACCCAATGGTGCTGTAACTCAAAAACTAATCAACAGATTGAGCTGATCTTGGGCTCATAAAAAAAAGTGATAAAGAAATAAAGTGATCTTTAGCATAATCGCTTCTTTTCGACTTCATATTTCGAAAGAGCCCAAGATCAGCTCAATCTGTTGATTAGTTTTCGAGTTACAGCATTAGTCCGGGTCATTGTGGGGCAGCCTTTGTATTATTGACCCCTTTTCCGTTGCTTGAATTTTGATTTTGTTAGTTCTACTTTGGTCCTCTTTTCCTTGTCAAGAGAGTTAACAATTTTCAATTTGTTTTTTGTTTAGCTCAAACGTAAAGTAGGTTTCACACACCTGAAAAAAGACTTGGACAAGTGGCAGTCTGTTGTTGAAACAAATAGAGTTGCTGACCAAATGAAATTCCCGCTGAATAAAGAAGAAATAGAAATTTATGATGACTGTGATATTTTGTCAACTTTTTCGGTAAGTCCTTGAATGAAAAGTTGTGTTAGGAATCATCCTATCTTCATCTATCAAGTATTAATAATACTCTTTCAATCCTTTTATTTATTTACAATTTTTTTTTTTTTTTTTTTGGTTTAATAACGCATTGTTTTTTTTTACTACATATTGCTAGGAAAAATGTAGGGCTGAGATTCAAACTTTTCTGAAAAATAAGAACTCATTATTTCCTACTGTTAACAGAACATTAAAAAATTTAAAATTTAGGTTATTTTTCATGAAATGTATGAAATCTTTTGAAATGTCATCGAAACGCGTGGAAAAAAACGTGGAATTTCAAGGGCAGTCTGGATGGGACAACAATATATGCAAGAGATTGAAGTTTTAAGTGTTTCACTCATCAAATATATACTAACATGCATGTATATATCTAACTGGCAATTTATCACTGCCCTCTGAAAGCTTGGTGAAACCAGTTTCTTATTGCCTCTTGTTGAATCATATTATCTTGTTCTAAGAGAATGTCCAAGTTAAAATTTGTTATTTAACTATTTTTAATTTGAGTCACTTATTGCACCATACACTATGTATGCTCCCCCTAATTTTTTTTCTCGTGTTCAACTAATCAGAAATTGATTTTTTTCTTAACTGAATATCATTTTCAATGGAACAAAGCAACCTCTCAGATAACAGCTGTTTCGTTGAGTCATCTTATCAATTTTCTTCACTTTCTTTCTTAATAGGGAAGTTCAGACTTTTACCTTTTACCTATCACAAATGATAGAAAATGCAGAGAGATTTTTACTCTTTACTCTTTCAAGGTGAAATTTTTGTGTCGATGCGTTTCTTCCTCATTTTGATCCACTCTATTCAATGGATTTTTAAATTTTTATTCAATTGTATGAATGATATAACCCACTAACTATGCTCAGAGATCTTAGTTTGGGGGAATCTCTCCAATCAGTCCATCATCCGTGCTAACCTGAATCTTTGACATTTTTTTACAATATCCGAGAGTTCTAACGAAAACCAAAGAAACGCCTTAAATGACTAAGTCACTGATGTTACAGATGATCTTAATTGATCCAACCACATTGTAAAAGTGGTATCTGAAACCGGATCTTTTAATTTTGCAGTTGTAAAAATGAATAATTACATAAGATCTTATCTATATCTTATTATCATGTATTTTGCCATGTCCTAATCCAGTCCAATGTCATGTATTTTTTGTTTTGTTTTTTTGTTTTTTTGAGGAGGCTCTGTTCAGATTGAACGGTTACTTGAAGTCAGGGAAAGAATCTACAGAAATGTTTTCAGTCTGAATTTGAATACTTCTTGTGAAGACATTTTTAGAAATTATCATAGTCCACTAACTTTCCATTAATGGAAGGAATGGAAATTTACATGTGACTGAGCTCTTTAAGTTTGTCAATCATTATAGGTAGTTCTTAATAGATTCAGTAAAGGCACCAATGGCTGTAGAAATCAACTCTAAATAGTACATATCCAACAGGGGCTCATCCAAAAAATAGAAAACATCAAAGCCTCAAAATTTACGAATATTCTTTTTGAATGGCAGGAAAATATTTAAATCCTTTTCAGCAGACAACCTTGTGTCAAAAAAATTCCTCTCATTCAGGCGCAAATGTATACATTGAATTGCGGTTTTGTGCAGTCTTGTTAAGGATATTGTAAGCCTCCCAATATCCTTTGCTTTTGAAAATTTAGACGATTTTTGTGGGAATGACAAGAGGGGTGCACTGGTGCAATGACTTATTTAATGTCTCCGGCATCAAACAGCCGATCAAAACTATCATCTCAAGAAAGAAGAAAAAGGGAAGAAAAGATGGAGATGAGGGGTACACTCCTCTAAATCATCTTTATAATGTTCACAGGAGATTTCTTAGCAATCTTTTTAATTTTGTTTGCAAAAATCTTTTTCTAATTCTTTGTTTCATTAATCTTTTCCAGAAACCCACTCCACTTGAGGAAGCAATGGCTGCAGTTCTCAAGAAAAGTGAAGTTGCCCAAAAAGAAAATAGGGTTTGTATTCTGATTGCCTCCAGTGTTTTGTCTATTTTATCTGGTGTTCTCAAGTGTAGGAAGTTCATGGAAGCTCTCAGAGGATTCTCAAAACTTATTTGTCTAAAAAGATTTGCTATTGACAATAAGGGTCAGAGAAAAGAGGATCAAAGCTGTTTAAATAAACCCATTTGCGGAAAGAGAACCTTCAATGGGATGAATTTAATTCAAAAGATTCTGAATTGAGCCCTGTCATGTGTGTATTCTTATGGATCTCAGGGCAGTAGGTCTACAAAAAAAAGGTCTACTCAAAAAATGCCTACATTTTATGGTCTGTAGTAAAAATGTCTACAGTAAGAAGTCTACTTTTAGAATGCCTAAGAAAGTAAATGTCTACATACATATAACGCGTCTCTTACTGAACAGGAAATGAATACACGATGATTCTTCTCCATAGATAGAACAGTCATTTCTCAAACATTTTTAACTCTCAATGGGGAAAAATCAGCAGGAGTGTACATAATTCCCGTGTTTTCTCCGTAGCAATTTACATAGCAACGTAAATTTACTTCACTCTATATTTTACTCTACCTATTCCATTCAGAAGTGAACTTTCTGAGTATAGACTTTTTTTGTAGAAGACATTATTATTTGTAGACATTTTTGTAGTAGACTTTTTAGTTCTAGACATTTAAATGTAGACTAAAAAATATAGACTTTCTGCTTGTGGACATTTTTGCTGTAGACCTTGTGTCTGCATACCCTCAGGGCTCATGTTAGAATGGATAAAGTTCCTTTTAATTTAAATATGTCCAATGGATCATCATACAGGGTACAAATTTAAGCATTTCAATATATGTTTCCTCTTCAAATTTTCGTGTAGACCACGATTTGTGCAACAAGAATCACTGGAAACAACCCCCAACCAAGATATCAACGTTTTTATTTAGAATTAGTTGTAGAAAATTTGAATTTCTTGCTCTCATGAAAAACGGGAGTGGACTTGAATCAAATCGCGCACCTCAATGGTTTCAGCTGGCTTCTCAATTGAGCAGCGCTCCTTTCCCACCCTGTGTTGTTCAAAGAGTAAACAAAGTGCAATAGCTGACCCGAAGCGCCAAGATGAAAGTTGTCATATTTTAATACTGAAGACCTTCATGGTGGCATTTATTGCAAGGTTTATTTCAAGTAGGCTAATGTTTTTTTATGAGCAGGCAGTTTGAATTTATGCATTGAAAAACAAACATCATAATAAAGAGTTACTTTTTGTAATTTTCGGTGCACCAATTGTGTTCTAAATGGAATTTTAATGAAAAAACATTTATCCTAATGCTTGAATCAGCACCTTGTCTCGTGGTCCATTCCAAGTCATGAAGTGCTAATAGAGGTTTACAAGTAGACATATTTATGCCAAAAAAACTGTGAGTAAATGAATAAAATCAGGAGGAACTATGTTGCACGTAAATCAGATGCATATAAATCTTTGTTCCCTGTTATTTAATTCATCTGTGAATAATTCGTATCAGTACAAATACTTCCAAATATATGTGGTGTCTTAATTGTACATCAAGTCAGTTTTTTGTCAGTTCACAGATATTTCAGAATGGCAAAGTGGGGTGACGTATTTTTCACTATTCAACGCTTAAGCCTTAAATTTCGTTCTGTCATGCAAAATTACAGCTCAAAATAAACGTTTTCCTATTACTAATATTTTCTCTGTCTGTTCATAGAAACATGAAGAAAAACAAAAGAAGTACAATTTGACGCTGAAAGAAATGATTGAAAGAAGGAAGATGATCGCCAAAGCAAGAGCTCAACAGTCCTTTTTAGCCGTAAAAGCAAAATACCAGAAGAAAATCAAAAGTAAAAAGTAAGATATCTTCTACTGGGCTTTTCACTGATTTTGAAAGCTCTTTTAATAACAAGTTCTGAAATTTTGAATTTCTGAACTTAGCATCTCTTTTTAACTTTGAAAGTAAAGTATCAGAAGAATCCCGAAAGAGAAGAGTGAGAGACCTTTTGCTTGGTGGTGATTTATTTATCGCTAAAACTTTTTGCCAGAAAAGGAACTTTATTTTAAACCAAACAAAACCGTACATGCCTTGATTGCCTTGTAACCATAACATGTGGTTTTTCTTTATGAACTGTGCCAACCATAAAATTACTTGTCATTGTGATAAATAAATATTTTATGTTTAATCACATGCAAAATGTGATTTAACAGTTTCTTTGTCAGAAGTTCTGAAAGCTAGATTTTTGTTCATAGTGGCGGCTATTGTCCGTTTTTTGTCCTACAATCTGAAGATTGTAGGACAATCGTTCTTGAACAATTAAAAAACTCTGGCTGAATAGTAATGGCAAGATGGAATAGGTTTCAATCCTGATCCAAGCTTTTTCTTTAATTTTTTATGTGACAAATTAGGCCTCATCCTAAGGTGGCTAATTGGATGCATATATGCAGTAGAAGACTATCTGCATTGAGTTTCCCTAGTAGTCCTGTGATACAGTAAGACCTCAAATTATCGGATCGCAAATTAACGGATTCCGCAATTTAATGGATTTGGCCTCTGGTCCTGTAAAATCTGATAAATCGAGGTCTTACTATAGTCTTCTTTTGCGGTACTGTGTCCAATTACAAAGAGGAGAGATAATGAATCTAAGAGCAAGTCACATGTTTAGAACAGAATTTGCGTGAAGCAAAGTTTTTGAGTGTAATGAAATGCACCGAATCATCTCCCACAAAAGTAGAAGATTTGATGAACTTTCTTCTCCACTTTAAGCTTCTTTATTGTACGTTTATAATTTTTTTTTGGCGTGCTGAGGATTGGTCCCTCTTTCTTCTTGCACAATATTCTTATAGCTCAACCATTCTTCTTAAAAGAACAGTAAAAACATCATCCATCTACCACTGTGAGCAATGCACCGTTTGAAAACAACAGAAGCATCAAGATTTCTCAAACCATTTCTTAGCTTGTCGGTCAGATTTTGAGGCCCTGCGTCATCAAAATTTCTTCTGAGCCATAAACAGTTGTTATTTTGCCACAGTATTACTTTTGTTCCCCCTCGCATTTTATCCTACAGCGTTCTTATAAGATTTTATTTTTTGTGCAAGTTTCTAACCAACATAAGAAAACCTTGCCTTTTGAAAATTTGGGGAAACTGAAAATCACAGCAAACTTTCAAAATTCACCAAAAGAATGCCTCTATCCAATAAAATTTCTCAAAATCATGTGGCATTTATGCAGAGAATAATTTTGAAATCATGTCGCCACACCATTATTAGATGGTACTCTCAATTTGATCACTCGTCAAATTGCCAACAAAAATTAATCATGCTCTCAAATACCTTTTCCAGATACCATAGAATTCTGCGCAAAGATAAAGTGAAACAGCAAATAAAGGATTTTGAAAAACTGAAAGAAGATGATCCAGAAGCAGCTTTGGAACAAATGAACCAAATTGAAAGAGTGAGAGCTGCAGAACGAGCAACTTTGAGACACAGAAACACAGGTCGTTGGGCTAAAAATATGGCGATTCGAGCTAAATATGACAAAGAGGTAGATTTCTTTAAATTTTCCTGTAGTTTTTTTTTCTCTAAGTGCTAAGAAATAACCTCAATCTAAAAACTCTTCATTGAAAGTGTGCTTCTACTCATCAAGCCTAATAAATATCTTGATGGCATGATTGCTTCTCCAATGCTCGCAGCACAAGCAATTTTTCTGAAAAAGCTTCTTCTCAAAAATCCTTGAATGTGAAAAATGAATTAACAGTCACTGAATAATTTTGTTGAGTTTTTTGTCATGTCAAGCTGTTACAAAAGCAACACAGTTTTCAACCTAAAATTTTTTTGTTTGGAATCTGAGGTCTAATTCAGTATTTTAGAAAACTCGGTCAAAAGAAGAACTTTTGCAGGGTATTTATCACCCTAGAATTAATGTGTATTTTGTGAGAAATGCGACAATGATATTGTGTCTCTATGATGACTTTTATCTCTTGAATTCTTTTTGTGATGAGAAATTTAACAAATTTGATTAAAAATTCATAATGCGTAAGAATTGCAACTGTCGAAAAATTTGGTAGTGTCGGGAGCAGTTTGACTTGAGGCCTATCACACTTCACCTTGCCATCCGCTCTCTATTTAAAAATATATTATTTATCATCAAAGGCAGCAGTGGCTTAAATGAAATACTGTGCAGTCCTATTTAATGAGTCGTCTTGGTTACTGATTGACAGGTATTTCAATTTTTTTCAGGCTGTCTTAGAGTATTTGCAAAATTTCTTCGTAAAATTTGGAAATTTCTATCTATAGGTTATTTCAGTTAATGTATAGAGATTTCAAGGCTATGTTTCGTAAGTTAAATTAAGACACCATTTCATAGCCTAAGTTCTTATGTTTTTAGAGTCGACAAGTACTAGCTGACCAAATCGAACAAAGCCGTTCGCTAACACAGAAAATGCAGACTAATTCTAGCGATGAAAGTGACGGCGAAGAACTTGAGCTTGAGGATGCAGCAGATAATCCATGGATTGATAAGGATGAAAAGGATGCAACAAACGAGGCAGACAAATTTTTCAGTGGCTATCGTAAGTATTGGACGGACAAAAATAAAGATGTAACTGAAATTGACATCAATGTAAGCGCGGATCAAGATAAACGGAGAAACCAAGAAATGACGTTAGATGCCAGCAACAAGGAAACAGGTGACAGCTCTGGAAAGGACAAAAGCCCAAAAGCAAAGAAGAAGAAGTCAAATACATGGGTTGTCAAACCCTCCATCAACAAGGAGGTTGAAGTCAAAGAGTCTGACAAAGATTCTAGTCCCACAGTTGCAAAAAGTCCTGCCAAAAATAAAAGCTTCAAAGCCAATTTAGCAGACTTTGATAATGCTAAGCCTACTAGTGAGTCTGCAGCAAAAAAAGCGGATGTAAACATCGACCCTCTGAACATCATCAAAGTGAATCCAAAGGCAATTAAGTCAGGCTTTGCCCGCGATTTCTCAGCTTGTAACATCATTGATGATGATGAGGATGCTGAGATCACTGAAGATCCACATTTAACGATTGCTGAAGCGTTTGCGGATGATGATGTTATTGGGGAATTCAGGTATGTATTTTTTAGATTCAGTTATTCTGAAAAATATTTTTTGGGTAATTAACAACACCGATCGCTTTCCTATACCCTCTGTGAATCCTATAGAATATCGTTATAAGAAAGGCGGAAGAATTCCGGTGAATTAAGTGCACTCTCTACCTGTCAAAAATGCAAGAATTAAAAATTACTGAACGAACTCATTGCACTCTTTTGTAGAATCTTTTAAGTGAATCCTGAGTAAATAGCTTTGTGTATCTCCATAGTTTCTATTTTTGGCAAATCATGAGTTTATTCGGATTTCCCTCTCAAATAAATTAGATGAGCAGAAAGTGGATCCATATCTGTGTAGTACATGATCAAATTTTGAAATTTGTAAGTCAAGCTCAACCAAAAGAATGTCATCGGTCGATGCTAATAAGTGATCAATGAAATTTTTGCCCGTACTTTTGTCTGCTTTTCTATGCTAATATCCTAGATCAATTGTATACGTAGGTCTATTTTTTCTCAATCCAATTTTTTTTTAAAAAACTCAAATAAATCTGATAGTTTGTCTTACTTGGATCTGTAATGATACTTTTAATCCATTGATAAAATATCGAAGTTTTGATGTAGAGTGATTTGAAGTTTTAATCTGCTATTCTCAGGACCAAAACTTGTCAGGTTATAGTGTATTTTTATGTCCTCTATCCACATGAAAGTGAATTAAGTTACTCAAAATTATCCATACCCGGACCAATATCAGGTTTTCAAGACAGGTTTTTTAAGCTTAAATATTGAAGCACCATATTTTCAACTATTGGATGTAATTTTATGTAAGAAAGAGTGTACAACTATAACCCAGCAAAAATTCCTTGCTACCAACCCATTGGATTTTTAGGGACTTAGAAAGCCATTTCCTCAGCTAAAATTAAATTAAATGCCAAACAGGAATTTGTAGGTATTGCAAATTATTTACTTACTTTCCAAAAATGACTGTAAAAAACTGTGCAACTGCCCCGATGTATTTCTCATCCGTCTTTAGTCTGAAATTTTCATTCTGTTCTCTCATTATGTCTTTAGAGCGGAGAAAGAAGAGGAGAATAAGAAATCCGAAATCCCTGAAGTGGAAGTTGGCATGCCTGGATGGGGTTATTGGGCTGGTCACAAAATGCAACCCAGCCAAAACCCTCGCAAAAGACGTCGTAGGATTATAAACTTGCCAAAACCGCCACCTCGGCTGGATCAGAACAAAGGACGTGCAATTATTTTTGAAGAAGAATCTCAATCTGCGCAGGCTCATCAGGTATAATTTGCTTTTTTGATCTCTATTACTTAATTTAGTGTCCCACAGACTGTTTGTAAACCATGTAATGTAAGACACTAAGTTGGAATTTTTTAGCCAACGTGCATTACAAATCCAGGAAATTGGAAATCTCAATAGGTACATGCAATCTCATGTAATGTACCACCATAGATGCGTTGTTAATGATGTCAACTGAAGTCAGCAACGTAGGTCCTTTCTACAATAGCGCTCCACAGTGAATAAATCAATTTTCATCACATCTTAGCACGCACATGCCAGAAGCTCTTGGATTTCTTCTATTTCCTATCATAATAATATCTACACATGTCCTTTAAATTAAATTCAGGAATAGAACTTCTCAAAAGTGCTCAACTATGAGCCCATCAACTTACCAAGCATCGAAGTTCTTGATTGATAGGCTTACTTTTGAACATTTCCAAGAAGTAAAAATTCCTGGGTTATAAGATTGAAGGCATGTACAGATATTATTTTGATATTATATGGAAGACACACGAAAGCATATTTGGATTATTTCTTGATAAGATTATTTCATCATAGACTGATTGATTTTATCGATACCCTTCATGAATTGCAGAAAAACGCATGGTTTTTTCAAGCCAAACTGTTTGTTTTCTTCTTACTTTTTTGCTCTTCCAATAAATAAAAATTGTCACTCACTGGAATGATACAGTTTTTGAATTTGAATTGCAATTTATAATGACAATTCAATTCATTAAAAAGTAAACGAATGCCACATTTAACGCCAGACAATGCAGCCCTGGATCCTCCCTTTTCAATGCTAACTCAGGCGCGCGCGC